TTTCTTTTGTTTACATCACTGGTGTGTGAAATATAATTATAATTGTGTAATTGGTTAAGTTGAAAACTCTAACGACATAGGTCTAAGAACATAAACAAAATTTAGAATCAATATGTTCCATGTACATGCTGTATTCTTACATTAAATAATATGCTTCATTCATTGACGACATGGGACAATCTCCCCCACCCCCTCCACACAGACACACGCACGCACGCACGCACGCACCACACACACACACACACACACACACACACACAGAGTGACAGAGAAACGCTCTTACCGGCCTGGTGTCCTGGTGCTGTTTTGTATCGAATATAACATCACATCATCTGCGAATCGTTACAGCCACAGCGATTATTCGTTTACATAATTAAGTGTTCACCAACAGATTGTTAAATTCAATATTGCTGCACTTACCATGTCGTTTTGTTCAACGTCCTCTCCAGAGTGAAAACATACGACAGGGCAGGAAATCAAGCTGAAAAATGTTTCTTCGTGGAAAGTCTTCATAATGCACATGACATACCAAAGTTCTAAACGCAGCCTTCAAAGTAGTGCGTGAATAATATAAACATGACAAATAGAGGTCTAAGCCCATTGTAATCTCGATTTTAAATGAATTCTAAACAACTTTTTGAAATTAATTTAACATGCACCGGTGCATTTGATAAAGTAAACGTCGTCTGCTTCGATCCATAGAGTCTGGATTACGCGCAGGAAAAACTCGTGCAACGGAAGTGTTTCCCGATTGGCTTAACTCGTAACCATGACATCACGTGACTATTCTGGTGAACACCTGCATGAAATATACAACACTTCTAACCTGATTTGACATTTGTTTGTATAAATAATCTAACCGACAAAGCCATTGGCGGTGGGGTTTGTCTAGCGAGGTTAAAGCGTCACACCAATTCACAACATGGGTACACCATGTAGAGCCGATTTTGACGCCCCTCTCCGTAATATGGCTTGGATTTGGTTCCAAATTTCGCAAATGATTTTGTAATAATAAATGGTAATTTTTAGCGATATTCATCATAATAGAATGGAGATGTAATACAGTGGATGTTCGACCATGAGTTGCCAAGCGCCTTAACATTTTAATGCATTTTAATCATAATGATGATTATGAAAAAAATATTATCAAAGAATTATGAACAATATGTATAAAGTACCACACGAGTTAAAACGTATAAAATGAGAGTCAAAGGACAGTATACCGAGTTTTTGTTTTTGCAACTGAAAATTATTGAGGAGCTCTTGTTAAATTTGATTATGTCTATTTAACCATCAATCATTCCTGCAACAGTTTGTGAAAAGTAATCTGTGGCTGAATAATTTTGTGTAAATATATATTGGTTCGATGAAGACTAGGGTAGGAAATGAACTTGCTTCCACGTGATCCCTAACATGTTTGAAATGTTATCAATTTATGTCGAAAAGAGCAATTTTATTGATTTTCAAGATAAGAAATCAAAGATACCCATCAACGAAATTCATATAGTCGGTCCCTTAGAATGTATGTATTGTGAGCCAATTTTAAAGAGAGGATAATAAGGGGGTAGCCTTGTGGTGGTCAAAGCGGGTTCGATTCTCCACATGGGTACAAACCGGGAATTGCCGTAAAAGGCGACTATGCTTGTCGGAAGAGGCGACTAACGGGATCAGGTGGTCAAGCTCGCTGACTTGGTTGATGCATGTCATCGTATCCCAGTTGGGTGGACCCGTGAAGATCCGGGGTAGAATAGGTCTTCAGCAACCCTTGCTTGCCGTAAAAGGCGACTAACGGGGTCGGGTGGTCAGGCTCGCTGACTTGATCGGTGCATGTCATCGAACCGAATTGCATGGATCGATGCTCATGATGTCAATTACTGGATTGTCTGGTCAAGACTCGATTATTTACAGACCGCTGTCATATAGCTGGAATATTGCTGAATGCGGCGTTAAACAACAAACCAACCAACCAGTTGTGTGGATGGATGCTCATGATGTTAATCACTGGATTGTCTGGTCCAAGCTCGATTATTGACAGACCGCCGTCATATAGCTGGAAACCGGGTTAGAATAGGTCTTCAGCAACCCATGCTTGTCGTAAGAGGTGACTAACGGGATACGGTGGTCGGGCTCGCTGACTTGACTGATGCATGTCATCGTATCCCAATTGCGTAGATCGATGTTCATGATTTCAATCACTGGTCCAGACTCGATAATTTACAGACCGCTGTCATATAGCTGGGATATTGCTGAGTGCGGCCTTAAACAACAAAGAATCTTTATCTCAAACAGGGACATGGATGGCCCAGTCATCTTAGGTGCCGCAATTAGCTGTGCAGAGTTCCTTGGGCAAGCCAGAAACCTATGATTGTTGGTTCGAATGTTTCTCAGCGCCCTGCTCGTGGGTTTTACCAATGTGGTATATGTATTAGGCGTGCATCACTTTGGGTTTTTACCCTCCACTAAGCTGACACGCCGTGATATAACCGTAATACTGTTCAAGCGGCGTTAAAGGGCAAGTTCACACGGAAATGAACCAATTTTTCTTGTACTTTTTCCACATTAAAAGTGTTAACATAGAAGTGTCATAGACAAAAATATAAAAACATCATATTTAATTAACATATTTTTTGCATTAAAACGATTTATATTTTTCACATTTACCAAGTGTTCTATTTCCATAACAAAAACACCATGGCTTATGCCCCTTGCAATATGACGTCATTGGTGCCAATTGATAAACATTATGACGTCATCATGCTTTGTTAGAGCCGCTTCACGTGGTGTAGGTACAGTTTTGTGATTCTAGCGTCTCAGATGCCAGCCAGAATTGTGTTATGCTGAGTCACCACTGCGCCGGAGTGTGTCGTAGACCATGTTGTTTTACCGCAAACTGGTCCTTGATATCTTTTGCGTTGAGAATAGACAGGGACTCAGTTGAATTGGCACCAATTACGTCATAATCTAAGGGGGATAACTCAGGCCTATTTCTCTCGTAAAACGAAGGCCTCATAACGGCATATCATTTTCACACTATTGTGAGCTTCCTACTTTCACTGTGAAAAAAATGAGTGTATATTTTCAAACACAGATACTAACTAATTCTAAAATTGCGTTTTGTTTAGAAAAAGAAAGAAAGTGATTTTTGCGTGTACACTTCCCCTTTAAAACCAACTCCCTCACTTAACTGACATATACAGTCGACCTGAATATTGCTGAGTACAGCGTTAAACAACAAACCAACAAACCCACATGGGTATAATGTGTGAAGCCCATTTCTGCTGTCGGGCGCCGTGATATTGCTGGAATATTGCTAAAAGCGACGTAAAACCGAACTCACTCAAAAGATATGGCGAAAAGGGGAAACAAAGTGGAGTTACGGAAAGGAGCTAGGATTAATAATCAGTTTTATAATGATATAATGCGACATGCACAAAGTTCTGTAGCTCACCTGTATTTTTTCTGGAGTAATTTCAAAATAAAAATACTAATTAAAAACAATATTACCACGAAACGCCAAACCTGTTAACAGAAGTTTCAACACAACAAAACAACATGCACATTCCAGAGAAACCCATACTGGTATAATAAGTAAAAACCCTGAGGTCATGATGATGCATTAAAAAATAAGAAATAAAAAATCTTAATTAAGTAATAGTTAAAAATGTCATGTTCTGTATGGTTTACATGGCAACGATGTTTAGAATCGGATCAGAATTCTGGTATCCAAATTTGTTTTACCAAATATTGCGCCCTGTACGCATAACAATTATGAATGGATGCAAATAATATCCATTGGACACACAGCGATATGGATGCTGGGATGATTAAATGAAACTATAAGTTTGATTTGTATGATATTTATGTATCAATGTTCGGACATTCCATGTCATATTTCTTTACTCAGTCATTAAATTCCGTTCCAAACAAGAAAATCCGTTTCCGAAAGAAGCAAAAGGCCTCACACATAATGTGTATTTGTTTTGCTGTTGGTACAGTGGTCACTAAGCTGGTACCCAAATATATTCCCGGGACCCCTAAAATTCATTACCGAGTCCCCAGGACTAGCAATTACACAGGCTTCGGTACATCCCTGCGACACCATTCCTGGGATGATCGATCAAAGTCACTGTCTTCATTCAGTTAACGTTCATCGCGTAAGAGTATTGGTTTATAGGGATGTCCGTTCCCGTGTTTTCAGGTGAACAATTAACTTGCCTTTGCGTGTGTTTGTTACGGGTGCTACCGGTGAGGCAGGATTCTATCACCTTTTCACCTGGTATCATTACTATTTGATAGTGATTCATGAACACATTCATGATCATGATATAGTCGGAATCGTACATCTGCTTTTTGCAGAGAATTCGTATGAATATGGAAAGGGTTTTGTCGCTTTTATCCATTATAGATACGTAAAGGCTTAAAGACGTTTACAGGTAGATTGTTAGGTGAAGTTTGACTTCGGTTGAGACTTTATTGATTGCTGACTGATTGTTTGTCGTTTAACGCCACACTCAGCAATATTCAAGCTGTATGAAGGCGGCCTGGACATAATCGAGTCCGGACCAGACAATCAAGTGATCGATGTTGTGATCACGCCGTCGGAGTACGATGACAAGCAATTATTTGTTTGTTTGTTTGCTTGTTGTATTACGCCACACTCAGCAATATTCCAGCTATATGACGGCGGTCTGTAAATAATCGAGTCTGTTCCAGGCAATCCAGTGATTGACATCATGAGCATCGATCCACGCAATTTGGATATGATGACATGCATCAACCATGTCAGCGAGCCTGACCACCCGATCCTGTTAGTCGCCATTTACGACAAGCATTGTCGACTTTTTCGGCAAGCATGGGTTGCTGAAGACCTATTCTACCCCGTATCTTCACAAGGCCCGACTGTTGCTGGTGCGTATTGACAATTCATGATGCAGAGTTACGTGGGCTTTCTCCTGTCGATCCACTGTCACGATGGACGAGTAAGCAAAACAACTAAGACGAATTATGAATCAAACTTTATCATCAATATTAATTACAGAAAGTGTATGTGGATCTCTAAGTAACACAAAGTCTGCGACACGTTTTGGAAGCTCCAGGCTCGAGGTAGCTAGCTCCATGTTCACCAGGACAGACCGCCTCACGACCAATCGAGCACAGTGTTTCAGAGTCGGAACACGCCGCTTGTAGTCCATATACCATTTCCTGTACTCTTCATAATACTCTGGAACCGATTTCTTCTCCCTTCCTTCCATTTCAGCCAAAAAAACCTCACTTGGGTCAAAGCCCCCGACTACAAGCGCACGAAACACCTTCCCATACGTGTAGGAATCTCCAGGGTGAATTGGGTACTTGTCAATCACATATGCCAACGCTGATATAGACTGAGGTCGAGAGCAACAAGCCTGGATCATCGCAACGATCACAACGTAAGCAAAGCGTTCGCTTGGGTCAGGTCGACTTTCGTACCTGTAGCCCAACTTTCCACAAAGCAAGGAGCGAAATATCAAACAGTTCCATAGAAACACAGTCGGATCCTCCTTTAAGTCCGAAACAAAATGTTGACATGGCAGGAAGCTTGTGAAATCTAGATCCGCTTTTAGAAGTATCTGTAGAAGGTCGACAGCCACGTGAACGATGAGCTCCGACAATATCTCGTCTCTAACGAGGTGTTCTACGGGGCGGCCTGATCCAAGCAGAACTTTACAAATGTTGACAACACTGGTGCGTTGTTCCCGTGACAAAAGCCACCTCAGATAGAGAATTATTTCATTTCTGATCGTAATTTTGGAAACTAGTTCCTTGATTCTAAGCAAATCTTCTTGATTTTCACCCAAGCAGTATTGTCTGGTGATGGTCATAGCTTGTGTCCTTGAGTCACTCGGTACGATCACGTGATCTGAAAGAGTGTCACTCGGGTTATTCCCTGAGTATTTGCTCATGGCGAGAACAAGGCTTTTATTTTTCGGTGGCTGACTTATGACATTTTTCACACCATCTGAAACAATTTAAAACATTATAACATTAAGATGACGACCTTCATATACCACTGTATCACCGGAACTCGATGATAGCGTGTATGACATACTATATTCGTATAGAGAAAACAATAACACCCCTCTATATACATATAGTCTCTATGTATATAGAGGGGTGTGATTTGTTTTTCACTATACGAATATATTATGTTATACACGCTATCATCAAGTTCCTGTGTGACAACCATATGCAGGCTGCAAGATCGTATCATTTAAATATAAACCTGATAAATGAAGTATATCACAGTTACCTTGATTAACTGTGAAGAAATACATTTTTTCACTATGTCTATATATAAACATTTTCATTAAAAACTGATGGTCCGTGGATGGTGAACAGGTTTATTTCAGAGGATCACGACCGTGGCAAAAAAACGGAGATGCTGTTAGGAGCTTGCACTAACACTCTAAACAGGGCTTTCCGTTAAGCGCGGCCTAGAACAACCGAAATGATATCTTTCTGTGAATAATGTTCTTCAGCTGCAATAAAACGTCGTGGTCTGTGAAGAATAGTAGTTCTAGAAAAAGGATAACGACAAGGACATAAACACTCAGCGTCATCTTACATCATATGCGAACACAAACATTCACAATAACCCTCCCACTTCAACTTACCGTACTATGGGTAAACGAGGTGGTTGTATGAAAAAGTGTACCTGGAATAAAAACGAAAATTCAAACCTGCGAGATGTTTCCGTTCGAAAATTATGTCTGCTTACAGAATATAGATATTGTTTCGGGGATATTGGTCATTATCAATTTGCAAATGAAAGAACGTTAGTTATATTCACGAAGAAAGTATAAGGCTATATATATATATATATATATATATATATATATATATATATATATATACACACACAATTTACTTTCAATCTATAGAAATAGGGAATTTCTGAAAATCTGCAGCAATTTTTAGAAATGAAAACATCTTAAATGTATCTATACATCTATACCCGATATGGAAAATTGCCCTCGGCACGTGAGATGAGGTTTTACACCAGACACTAATGCACCTAACAACCTACTGTCTTAAAGTCTACTTCAAATATATCACAATTTCCACACGTGAACAAATTCTATTATTGTCAATAACCATCAGGTATATGGTCAGGACTAAATATTGTGACAATGAATATTTTCTACTGAATGTCACAGTGTGTTAATCATTATTAACTCACCTTACATTAAAATACTACCTTCTGATTGGTTAAGGAGCGGGCAATTATTTTCCATGCAGCCCGATCGTGTTGCCCGCTGAGAAAGCAATCGGAACACACCCTGGGTAACTTGCATACCTCGAATAAGTATCGTTGAGTTGAAATGAACCGATGTTTATTCGAATGCATTGGGCAACGGGAAGTAACTCGTTTCGTTTGCCTCGTCTGAGTTTTGCTAACTCGGTAAAACTGAGGACAAAATTATTTTCCGAACCAGTATGAATGGGAATGTCAGTGAGATAAATTCGTTGTCAACCGATCTCGAGGTGGATATGGCGTGATTTACCCTGGGAGTGATCCTATGTACATACAGGGTACATCACACCATATACCTGATGGCCAGGGGTACATATACTCACACACAGGGTACATCACACCATATACCTGATGGCCAGGGGTACATCACACCATATACCTGATGGCCAGGGGTACATATGCTCACACACAGGGTACATCACACCATATACCTGATGGCCAGTGGCACATATACTCACACACAGGGTAAATCACACCATATACCTGATGGCCAGGGGTACATATACTCACACACAGTGTACATCACACCATATACCTGATTGCCAGGGGTACATCACACCATATACCTGATGGCCAGGGGTACATATACTCACACACAGTGTACATCACACCATATACCTGATTGCCAGGGGTACATCACACCATATACCTGATGGCCAGGGGTACATATACTCACCTCGACATAAATTGAAACTTATAACTTTTGTATTTTACCCATCGCTCAAGTTGAAGTAGTTTGGAAAAAAACAATCATTTTCCTGAAATAGATATATTCGAAATACTCTTTCTTTCAATAGAACACAACATATTCTTTTCTTAACCTTGAGGGAACTAGTTAATGTTTGTTTGTTTGTTTATTTGTTGTTTAACGCCGCACTCAGCAATATTCCAGCTATATGACGGCGGTCTGTAAATAATCGAGTCTGGACCAGACAATCCAGTAGTTAATATCATAAGCATTGATCCGTGCAACTGAGATCGATGACATGCATAAGTCAGCGAGCCTGACCACCCAATCCCGTTAGTCACCTCTTACGACAAGCATAGTCAGCTTTTACGGCAAGCAAGGGTTGCGGAAGACCTATTCTACCCCGGATCTTCACAAGTTAAAGAGTTTGGTTAAACGCTGTTCAGTTTCTGTGTGTGTGTGTGTGGTTGGTGGTGGTGGTGGTGGTGGGGGGGGGGGGGGGGGGGGGGGTCAAAAGTAATGCTGTCGATGACACTTACAACTTTCATTTGTACGGAGAATGAAATACTAGTTCCCACCAAGGGGGGATATAAATGTTGATTTATTTGCTGAAGAAAGTGATGTGAGTCCAGTCCAACAACTGTAGTGAGGGTGCCAGCTGTTTATTAAATTAATTATTTGATGTAATATTTGTGACATATCCTTCGTGGTCTCAATAACATCAACATGACACAAACACGTTTGAGTACATGAAGTGTTCGCGTGACAATGCCACCATGCCCTCAAGAGTTACCTCCCCTTGACCAAAGAGTCCTTGGCAATATTCAGGTTGCAGAAGGAAGTAAATACCCAACGTGTTCCTTGACAATGGCACGTATACCTACAGGCCAATACAGGTAGGCTTAGTCACAGAGCTGACGCCAACATCATCACAAACCTACTACGCAGACATTTGTGTCATTTTGATCGAATCACAGTCATCCGTGTTCTATATTAATCCATTCCTCGAGTCGACTGTCACTGTCACATGAATGAGTCGCGATGTCTATTTATGTATACTGACTGATATGCAAGATATGGTCTGGTATATCAACGGCTGTGTATGCGGACAGTGTACATGTATGCGTATTCTGTTAACGCTGACAATTTGAGGTTATTCACGTATACCAAGAGAGTTTTGTTGAACTCACTCACCATTACTGCAGTGTTAAGCCCCATGAAGGCCAACACGTACGCTGTCTAAGGCTGTATATAGCCAATACTATAGCTATATAGCTATATTGTTAGCTACAGGAACTATATATTTATAGTGTTGTAGCTATGGCAACTCTATAAACCTCGCAGAGGATGCACTTACTGAGGTAAATATGAATTCGATATTATCTACAGGATTACTCAGATGCACTGAATTGTGTGAATAATTGACACCAATAACGTTTCGCCGATGACATATTTATTTATTTATTTTGTATAGTTTGTTTATAGTATTGATTGTTTTCATTAATGTGTACACCAAGAGGACGTCTTTCAAATGTAAGCAAAATTCTTCAATCTTAAATGAAAACTAAATTCCACTCTTTTCTGGAAAAGCGATGGCTGTTTAGAAAAATCAAATTGCTAGAGACGACCTTTGACACCAGGGCCCACTTGCACAAAACGATCTTAGCATTAAGACTATTGTAAGCCTATGTTAAAGTATTGGAGTTATGATCATCTTAGCGCTAAGTTCGCTTTGTGCAAGTAGGTCGAGAAGGGTGAGGTGAGTAAATGAATGTTATTTGATGCCACTGTGTGCAATTTTCCACCTGTTTCACGGATATCTTCAATTATTAATGGACCATTCTAGACCTGGGCCAGGCAAACCAGTGACTGAAAGCATAAGATCCAGTACAGTAAACTACGGTTATAACGAACCCAAAGGGACCACAAATGTTAATTCGTTATAACCGTAGTTCGTTATAAGCAAATGTACGGGATATATACAGCAAATGGACAGGACCAAAAAATAGTTCGTTATAAACGTGTTCGTTATAAACGTAGTTTATGTATTTATATGTATTTTGTCTTAGTTGTGCCCCTTGCTGGAACACTGCTGTATTGGAATTATTACATTTAAAAAAGGAAGTGAAAACACATGACCGTGCACGTTCATTGCCCGAACATTTCCCACAAAACTTAAAATGCCGGTTTCATATTATTTTTAAGAAGGATAGAACTGTATTGGCATCAGTATATATTTTTATGAATAGTGTACATTTCGTACATTAAGCCTTGTTTGCTAAACATCATGTCGTCTTAGGGGTCGGTGGGGTAGCTTAGTGGTTAAAGTGTTCTCTCGTCACGCCGAAGAACCCGGTTCAATTCCCCAGATGAGTAAAATGTCACTCACTCACTTCCGCCCGCCCACCCACCCAACCACCAAATCACTCACTCACTCACGCCCGCCCAACTACCCACCCACCCAACAACCAACTCACTCACTCACTCACTCACTCACTCATGTTCTTCTATAGTTTCAGCCATAATCCCAAAGGGTTCGTCCTTGGGTTCGAGAGCCCCAACCTCTCTGACGATGCTCTCGAGGCTTTCAGGAGATACATATGCGCCCCAAAACAACACTCGTCGATGTGTTTCGAAGAACTTAGAACAGTGTTACTGGCGAACGACAACTTCGCCACACGACGTCTTCTCCTCCGAAGCGGATTCAGGTGTCTCCATAGCAACAAACCTGAGACTTTGGCCGACCTTATAAGCCTTATCTCAGATACAGAAATTGTTGGTATAAAGAAGGATGTTGTGAACACTCTTCTTGAATATGATGCAAGGGAGTGCTACCCTCTGCTGCTGTCAAAGGACATAGAAATATTGGACCTGTGGCCAGACCTCGCCTTGGAGTCGAACCCGTACGTAAAAGCAGTAGGTATAAACACAGACACGGTATTCATAGACCTACTGCCAGATTTCCTAGTATGGCAAGTTGTCTCCCCTTGCCATCGTCACGGACTTCGTTCGACCAGACGTATTTCAAGAAGAGTGATCAAACACACCGCCATGTTCCTCAATGACTTTGATATGAACTTTGATTCTAGAAACAAGACGAAGTCCTTGATGGCGCTTGAGACCTTACGCGCTTGCAATTCAGTTGTAGGATTACATCGCTGTCTTGCTAGAATTCTGGAACGTCCGATAATTATTTGGGACGAATGGCAGCAGTTTCTCCTCAAGGTGTTAGTACTGATGGGACACCGACCAAGTGAAAGCCTGCTCAACAAGTTAAAAGAGTCCGATGACTTGAGGCCATTTGTGTTTTGGTATGAGTCCCATACGAGGAGAGTGCCATCATTGCGAGACTGTGCCAGGGTGCGCATGCGGAAGTCGGTGACCAAGAGCAACCTTCGACATGCAGTGTCCACTCTGTGTGTTCCACAAATGGTAAAAGACTACATTCTGTACAGAGACTCAAACGAATTTTTCAAGTGACCAATATTTTCAGTTGTTTCATTGGACCCGCGAAGATCCGGAGTAGAATAGGTCTTCAGCAACCCATGCTTGCCGTAAGAGACTATGCTTGTCATATAAGAGGCGAATGACCGGATCGCGTGGTCAGGCTCGCTGACTTGGTTGATGCATGTCATCGTATCAAAGATAAAAAAACATCGACGTATTGAGCTTAATGATGTTGCTGCTGGAGATAGCACTAACTTAGTGCCCAGTTGGTGTGTCAAGTCGTTTCTTGTTCATTACAAGTTGTTCTGGCAAATAGGAACACAATGATGTACATCGGTCAATTACTGGAGTCACACATCAATAGCGTTTCAAAACTATTTTCCTTTCAATAAATAATGAAATTAACGATTTAGAGTAAAACATGCGTTTATTAACTATTGTGCACACATATTCATTACCAATAAATTCAGATCAAAATCTGGGAAATACATGCATATGTAAAGATGGATACATGTTGAAGTAATATTCATGTAGAAAAAAAAGGGTTAAAAATGTAGGATATTTCTTACAAACACATTTAATATGACATTGTATAATTGTATATTGAATGTGAAAAGATGTCTAAGGTACAGTGATATTCTGGTATATTTCCTGGTTCTGATACTCAAAAGATGATGTAATAATATCAGGTTGTAAGCGAGTATTTACGTATCTACATATTAATATTAATTATGTTGGGCACTCCACGAGGTCTCGACAAAGCCTCGGTCGTCAGCATTATTAATGCCAGTTCAGGGCGGCCTTTAAAGTATGTTCGGTCCCGGAACAGGCACACCAGTCGTTGGCTGTGAGTCTCGACATCGGCGTACACACACATAACAGAGACCTGGCTGAATCCTAGCGCGTAAACACATAAACATGATCGATGGCAGCAACTGTTTCGTCATTCAATATATCTCAACTTTCTAACCAGGTTCAAACTAACGATTGACTAGCACTTGTAACAGATGGTTCGTCCTTATTGACGGAATGAAGTCGTTGAATTGATATAACATTGAATTCAAAGAGAGTTAATGAGTGAGTTGGGTTCAAAGCTGTAAAATCACAGGATCTACGCGGAAACCCAATAGTGCTTACACCCCAAGGATCCTGGCACAGGTAAGGGACGCAACTCCGCTCGCCTTTTCCCCGGAAAGGAATCAGAATAGATTCAACACTTAGAGTAACAGCAGGGACCGATAACCCATGGATGCAATGCCATGGTTATTAAGAGGATTAGTAAGATAAGGACATTTGCTCCTGAAACATTAACCCCAAGCCATGTATCATTTGAATCCCACCAGTCACCACTTGTCGAGCACACTGACAGAGAAGCGTAGGAGGAAGAGGGCGATGACCCGTAGCCACTGGAGATGTGTGGGTCTGAGTATGATGCTGTCGTGTCTGCCACTTGTTCTTTGTGAAATGATTTCAGCCAAGCGCTTGCCTCTGCAGCTGAGATCCGGCGATCCGGGTTTTCATTCTTACATCTCTGACATAGGGGTACTATGGCCGAAATCCCAGACACGTCTACGATACGTCCCAGTAGTCTGCCTAAACCATACACATCATTAGCCCTTGATGTCTGGCCACCTGCACGAACCTCTGGAGCTAAGTGGACAAACTGTTCCATGTCCTGGTCCGTGAATACAATACCATACTTATAGGACCCATGGCCGAAGTCACAGTACTTCAGAACTGGGGCTGGTTTTGTCAGATCCACTAACACGTTGTCCGGTTTGACATCGTTGATCAGAATGTCCATCTCATGGATCTTGCAAAGGCCCTCAGCCAGCTGCCGTGCAATGCTCAACCAGTGTAGTAACGGTAGAGTCACTTTCCCCACAACATCACCGAGGGTGGTTCCCGATCCGATGAGCTCCAGGACAACACTGTGACCACCAATTCCATCTTTAACTAAGCCATAACATACAGGAACACAGCCAGTTGGCTCCAAGTACATGGTCAGTTTGGCTTCACGAAACACATCGTCTTTGGAGACCATGTCGATGTAGTGTTCCTTCAACACAACGTGTCTGCTTTGTCCGTCCACATGCAGTGTTGCTACTGTAATCTCTGCAAACGTTCCCCGACCTATGATGTTGCTTGAAAGTACGCCACTTTTGCTCTTGTATTTAACACACGGCGGTGGTAAGACTGGAGGCTGGACATGCCAGTAGTGCTTAGCAACACGGACGTCTGGACCAAACACCTTCTTGAACACAAACTCAGAAGTAAAAGGTTCCTTTTTGTTGAAACTAGCTGAGTTAGGAAGGGACGTTCTGCTGGAAGTAGGAACAATATAGGGATATAAGTACAAAAGGAGGCATATACGTGTAGTGAGTGAGAGAGCTAAACGTTTACATCGCACCGGCAATATTGCAGCCATATAGAGATGAGATCATATTTCTAATAAATACATTGATATTATATAACATCACAGTGTTGTATATATTGGCATATTGTGCTTCTTCGAGCGATTATGTATGTTCAAGCGATGTTCCAACTGTAAACGAGAGAAAAGGGAGAAAACGTTTGTCATTAAATCGTCTTAATTAATTGAAACAAATATACCATGAATATGAAATGATATGTGAATCTGGTGGTGGTCCGTTGCAATGTTAAATAAGGCGATTTTCTAGAAAAAAATTTACTGTCCCGAAAATTCTTTAAAATAATAATCATACCTCAGACTGTTGACAAATGAAAGACAAGAAAATGTCTGCCACCAAAATTACATTGTTGCAAAGAGTTTTTATACAAAAAAAAGATTTAGGCTTATAGTTTAAAATAAGAAATAGTTGGTTTTTCACCTGTAGCTGAAAACAGTATCTAGTCTCCATATGGTACACGCACACTTAATATCAAATGGTCGGTCCTTAAGTGACAAATGCATGAACGAAAACAGCCGTACCTGCTATTGTTGTGTTTCAAAGAATTAATAAGAGATCTATCCAATATATTTCCACTGGACTTCTTTCCATGAATCAATAAGAAACATATTCTTTGAACCAAATGATCCTTCAGAGTTTGTGGAAGTTCTGGCACCTGTTTATTGGGGATAGCATCAAGTAGCTGTTGCATATCAGACTGGAAGCTATGGGGGATATTTTCAGAACTATCTGTGACGTCCAGGCCAGACCGGAAGCTTTGGATGGTCTGTGCAGAACTTTCTGTGACGTCTAGACCAGACCGGAAGCTGTGGTTGGTCTGCACAGAACTATCTGTGACGTCTTGACCAGACTTGAAGCTGTGGATGGTCTGTGCAGAACTTTCTGTGACGTCTAGACCAGACCGGAAGCTGTGGTTGGTCTGCACAGAACTATCTGTGACGTCTTGACCAGACTGGAAGCTGTGGTTGGTCTGTACAGAACTATCTGTGACGTCTAGACCAGACCGGAAGCTGTGGTTGGTCTGCACAGAACTATCTGTAACGTCTTGACCAGACTGGAAGCTGTTGTTGGTCTGTACAGAACTATCTGTGACGTCTAGACCAGACCGGAAGCTGTGGTTGGTCTGCACAGAACAATCTGTGAGGTCTAGACCAGACTGGAAGCTTTCGATGGTCTGTACAGCAGCACCAGAAATCTCTAGATCAGAATGAGAACCTGTATTTTTAACCTCCAAACTCTCCGTCTGAATGGAAGGGGATGTCTTACGCTTCTTTAAAGACACGGCTTTGTTTTCGGCAGTTCCCTCAGTCGACTGTCCCTCCATGCCCAGGGTTCCCAACTGATGCTGCTTCATCTGTAAGAAGATTTCTGTCAGCCTCTCCGCTCTAGACAAAATAGACAACTCCGGAGTACGTGCATCGAATAAAAATGTCTTGGAATAATGTCTATCCCGCCGTGTGTTGCGGGATCTGTAGAAAAGACCATGGATGTCACAGCTGTTCCTTGACCTCACTCCCAGCAGCCGAGAACTCAATAGGTATTGATTGTACGTTTTGGGAGGAATGGAAGTCATGGATCGGGAAGACTGTACCTGCCCGTCACAGTTACTTGAATCACTGTCATTACTGTTATTGTTCATGTTGAGGCTAGCACCGTCTCCTATCATCTGTTCGTGGAAATCGTAAACACAAAACACATCAAAATTTAGACGGATTCTTGATACGTTGTTGTTGCCATTATTTATCCTCAAATTGACCTCAGATGATTGGTTCCCGGTGAAGGGTATATACTGGGTCTGACATTTACTGTATCCGCTCAGTATGGCTTGTTGGTGTGTGGAACAAGAGCTCCAATAGTCATCAGCAATGTCCATCTCCTCCAACTGACGGTCTCTCAACATGTGGATTCGGGCCGAGATTCTCTGCTTCAAACCAGTATAAACTGTTCTGTGTTATTTATATCAGCTACCTCCATGTTTTCCGGCAGCTCTATGGAAAGATATTTGGAATCTTGTCCGACATGGTCATCAAAGACATCAGCAATCTTGTATGGAATAAAGTGTGTCTACAACAAAACAAATTTTATCAGATAAAATATGCTTTGTTTTTACAACTGTTTGGTAAATATAAGTTTGCAAAAAGAGATGTTAAAATATATTTATATTTATATGTTTTTAGTTCAAAGTACAAAGTTATGTATTGATTTGTATAGCGTTGATTTCTTATATATGATAGATGCATTTTGAACATATGAACAAAGGTTACCCATTTACTTCTATCGATGCAGTATCCTCGAAGACCCAGTGTATGATATCGATAAATACCCTGGACCCATTCGTTTTAATTCCGATTCGTATTTTCGTATTGTTCCGATGTTGGATTGAAAAGGGTGCTAAAATGAAAGTCATATTCTTACCTTGTCAACCGTAATAACACTTCCATGTCATCCTCAGGCTTGATCTGGAGGACTCCACTTATTTCAGTATAGTTTCAGCTTGATCTCGAATCTACGCCAAGGACAGCCAGCGGGGAATCATCGTTATACACGCGCACAAGGAGGAACGTCCCTCCATTCAAGCTTGAGCCTTGGTGCAGATATGGAAGAAGGCGACGTTTGATTTGGAGAAATGTACCTTCTCAGATGAGGCGGATATTTGATTAGCTCTTGGCTATCGAAACGTGTGTGACGTAATAGATGTATCCAAGGGCAACCAAGATACAACAAATTTATTAAGGACGAGAAAATATCATTTTTGGGATGACTCCTTAATATAATACATATGGGAAAAGAATTAACAATAAATTAACCGCCAACATCAATGTTCTGACATTTCACAGTCTGTTTGCAACATATTTTATTGTGACGTCACAAGAACTGGTATTCAGAACAAATGACGTCATGATTCTTGAATGTATATTACAGTATGACGTCACAGTACGCTAATGGAGCGTGGCTCATTCTCCTACCCAGGCGGCCAATCTGTCTAAGCTAACGCAAATCTCACCGACTTCCGCGTCCTTTGCGGTCATCAGTGCGCCGGAGTGTGACAGACAAAGTTGGAGACGGGTTCGCGTACCCTTCGTTTTGGTACCGCTGCTCTCCCTTTTTTTTCTTTCGCTGGTCTTTTGTTTGATGCCGCACTCAGCGTATAAGTGATTTCTCCGGTCCCTTGTAGTTTGTTATATCTATGTTCTACTGTATATAGCGGCGGTCTCAAAATAATGGAGTTTGGACCAGACAATTCAGTGATTGACATCACGAGCATCGATCTACGATATTGTTGCTTGTTTAACGCCGCACCTAGTAATATTCAACCTATATGACGGCGGTCTCTAAATAATCGAGTCTGGACCAGACTATCCAGTGATTGACATCATGAGAATCGATGTACGAAATTACTTTCAATTAAAACCCAGTTACTTTCAATTAGCTTGCGTACAGAAACGCATGCATAAAATGAAAAACTCAGATTTAAAAAAAACCCACAAAAAAACAGCTCGCCTAAATCCCCAATGAAGCTTTTTCAGCATGCGTACAAAGGAGCTTATTTCCGAAACACAATAACGAGCTAATTTACTTTCCGAGTCAAGCCTATATATTAAGAACAGTTATATACATCTAAAACATTATATAATTTTTCTGAGTGCCCTTAGGCACGCCAGAAACCTATGATTGTGGGTTCGAATCCCGGTTCGCCCCAATTATGTTTCTAGGTTTGTCAGCACCATACCCGTGCTCGTGGGTTTCACCTAAGTGGTAAATGATACCTGCATTGCTTCGGGCTTTCCTCCCACAGTAAGCTGACACGCCGTGATATAACTGGAATACTGTTAAAATCGGCGTTAAACATCACTTGCGTTTCACTGGTGCCAAATTATGGCCATGGGTAAATGCGAATGTGAATGCTTCGTTCTTCATGCCATCCTGTAAGGCACTGGCCATGATTGTGACTGTTGAATTGTGCTTGAAATGCACCTAAATAGAACTAGGCGTAAAACGAGCACCAGAACGTTGACCCTGGCCTCCCTATTAACCTTTTTACACCCGCCACTTCCTGTTTGAAGCAAGACTTGGGGCTGGCCATGTATAGAGCACCTCGGATATGCCGCCATGTCAACAAGAGCCGTTTATAGATGAGTGAGTGAGTGAGTATGGTTTTACGCTGCTTTTAGCAATATTCCAGCAATTACACGGCGGGGCACACCAGAAATGGGCTTCACACATTTTACCCATGCCGGGAATCGAACCCGGGCCTTCGGCGTGACGAGCGAACGCTTTAACCACTAGGCTACCCGACTGCCCCTTACAGATGAGTGAGTGAGTTTAGTTAAACGCAACATTGAAAAGTTGCCCAATGTCATCTTGTAGCCGATGTTTACTGCTAAAACCACAGAAGTGCGCATGATGCTGACAGTTCAGGGTAAAAATGAGGGTGATCCTTAGCGTCGACTAGCAGAATTTGCCCTGGATAAGAGATTGCAATGCATTGCATATCCCTGGCCCTACCGATGTGAATACAACTCCGCGGTAGCATAGCAATCTGGTGTGTTAAACAGGTGTCAGACCGAGACATTGAATATTAAACCCTAGTAGAACCGCGTCATCAAATTATGGCTTGTGAACGGGACTTCGAATTTTCAGCTAAAGGACAAAGTCATTGATCTCTCCCGCAACAGCAAATACTTGTGGATAATAAATATACGAAACGTGTTGCCATGGAAACTTGAAAGTCATTTGTTCAGAAAATACCAAACTATCAAATTGGTCCTGTTCACCACAAGACCTATTTATGTGCCAAGTTTGGTGAAGAAATATTGTACATTTTTCAACCTCCGGGTAGGAGCACTACCGCTTATTCAGTCGGAGTCAAAGTTGTTGCCATTTAAATCTCAAACCATCAAAAGGCACCATTTGACCACTAGACCAATCTATGTGCAAGTTAAATATTGAAAGTTTTCAAGATTTCTCTTCCATGTCTGCAACACTGTTTACAGACGTGAAGATTTGAGTTATCTCCCCTGGGGCCCATTCCCCAAAGCAATCTTAGTGCTATGATTGTAGTGCTACGATTGTCGTAAGCCTGTGTTAAAGTATGGGAGTTACGATCATCTTAGCGTCAAGATCCATTTGTGGAACGGGGCCCTGGTAGGGTAGTTGAATCCTTGACGTTAAGACTCCAAACCTGTTTCATGCTCCAGTACTCCCCAGGGGACACTTTTACCACTGACTAACAATTCCTGGCATGGGAGAGTACAATCTAAAACCCACTCAATGGATCTTCTTCACTAGCTACCCCATCAAGATCTATACTAACCTGATAAACAACAGACACTCTGAGTAAACTCATGCATTTATTGTTATGAAAGCCACACACCATCATGCATGCAAATGGCGCATAGTGCATGACTTGCAGTAAAACAACACTTTTTGCAGTGACTTGACAGGATCCATGTTCTCATACACAGCAAAACACTGAATTTTAAATTCACATCGTATCAAGCATGGAGGCAATAGTCGCTTAGATGAGCTAATTCTGGCAGATTTAGCACCAGGAATTGTTCCTATTTGAAGAAAATCTATTGCCTGAATGAATTAATCAGAAAAATGTGGTAACATAAGTGAAACTCTTCCATTGATGTCCTCAAGACACAGTCAGTCATGTGAAACAACAAATACTTTGGTTATCTGATAATCTGACTATGATCACTAACTCTCAAGCATTGTTTCAGTTAAATTCTTTATCTGTAAATTATTAAATGTACAAGAGAGAGAGTATGCCACTATATCACATCGGATATGGGCTTCACACTTTGTACCCATGAGGGGAATTGACCCCGGGCCTTTGGCGTGACGAGCAAATGCTTTAACCACAAGGCTACCCTGTCGCCTTATATGTACAAAGAGGAAGTCCCTATGATAAAAGTAAAGTAAGATGAGGCTGATATACTGAAAGCCCAGGTTTGTGTGACTTCCAACAGTCACATGGCCAACTACTGGTCAATGTTGACTACACACCACAGCATTCAGCTATGTTGAGATCTGATCAGTGTGCAAGACAGGTAACCAAATACATCTCATTAATCCGAAACCTGACCCTATGAGTGATAGCAGTTGAAGCTGGAACTATTACTGTATTTGACGTAATAAGCGCCCCGCTCTAATACGCGCCCACGGCGATATTTGCTAATATACTGGCTAGTGAACAATCCCAATTAACAGCCCTTCTGAATGATAAATGTACACAAGGCTATTTATTCGTGCATAATACGTTTGTTATATGCACCCTTAATTATGGGCAATTAAATTCTGGACAAATATATCTGTCATTTATAAACATTTCAGCATAAACCACGAAATTTACGCTCTTTGAACTCTAATTTTGAGAGCGCCCTGGGCGCTTATTATGTCAAATACGGTATACTTCAGAGTGTATGAAAATCTTAATACTACCCATAAATGTTGACAGATTGAGCATAATAACTTTCCAATTTTAGCAATGAACTTATTCTCAAATTTGATGTTAAGTCCCATCAAAATGTTGCTGCTACAACAGAACCTGATTTTCAAGATGATACTTATGATGCCATCCATTTTTTTCATCAAAATATCCAAGTAGTAAATATAATAATCCCACTTGAAACTCAGAATTACAGATTTATGGTCTCTAGAGAATGAATGCTCCATGACCCTTGCCAAAATATCGACTTAACCCGCTCATCCACTGAAAAGATAGCCTGCAATTCCTTGTAACTCAGCATCCAGCAAAGAGGGCTATATGTACAGCGTATTTAACTTTGAAGTCCTGTCTTGAAACTTCTTAATTCAGTCTGTTCACTTAGATCAAACCAGAATGAGGTTCCACATTATTATTATTCTTATTATTCCTATCTGGTACAATCTGGTGGAGACAAGCCAGACATACTGGTATATGTATTGGCAGAGTACCACAGAAGCAACACGAAGCAAGCCCTGGATCTGTCCTATATCAACTCTTCCTCATAGGAAATTGACCATAGCACCACGATACTCTCAATATACATACAACATGAAACTTGCCTGGCACTCACAATGACGGTTTATGTAGGTGATGATATAGTCTCACACCTTTCATAAACAGCAGTAAAACAAATAGCTATTGTATATACAGTCGAGTCTTGTTGATCCACACATTCCTGAATTGGGGAAAATAAATAAAAATGTTTTAAAGGCAACGTGTACCAAATCACATCCTTGTAATCATATTCACAATGACATTGTTAATAGTATTGTTTGCACAGTGATATTAATTAGTTTGAGGATAAGCAAGCCTTGTGATTTTTAGTAATGTTTAAAAAAATGACATGCATCATGGTTTATTGGTACAAAATAAAAATTGATGTTACATGTTTATGAAAAGAAAAAAAATCCCTTTCTCCATGTTCTCAATTCTTAGCCCATAACAAATAAAATTACAAATCATATTTTTAATGGGAGTACCTTTGAATTTTCTTTACCAAGTGATTGAGTATGGTTCTACGCCGCTTTTACCAATATTCCAGCAATATCATGGCAGGGGACACCAGAAATGGGCTTCACCCATTGTACCCATTTTGGGAATCGAACCCGGGTCTTTGGCGTGATGATCAAACGCTTTAACCACTAGGCTACCCGACCGACCCTTTCTTTCCCAAGAAACTCCTGTAAACATTGTCTGACCTCTTAAACATAATCACACGTTTTGATTGTCAGATGAAATATACCAGTTTGATATAAGTTTTTTGTTACATAACATCAACTTGGTAAACCTGATTTTGAGATAAATTAGCAATATCTTGTAAATTACCCTTGTAATCGTTGTCAGTATAAATGGTTTTCACTGTATCACATTTGAAGTGACCTATTGCAAAAACAAACCTAGAATAAAGTGTTAGAAATAGAGAGACCGACCGTTTCTATGTAATATATTTGAAAAATGATTAACTTTTTTAAAAAAACACTGGAAATAGTGATTTTACCTGAGGTTTTGCACACAATATTTTTAAAAAATTTCACTGCATGTTCTGAAGAACGAAACGTTTGTCAGAAAAACAATATATTTGGGTCCTCAATAAACTATTGTCTTGAAGCTGTCTCTTACAAAATCTCAGGAGCCTCCTAGACTAGTATAAATGACTGATCTCTAACAATACAGGCTTTGTGTACAAGCAATCACCTGGGTCAGTGTGACAACCCTCTTCCCGAGGCAAGAGAGCCACTTGCCTTTTTATGAAAGTCTTGTTTCAACCCTTGCCACAAATATGATTGGACTATCCCACATATCAATAGTACTTTCAGAGAAAAGTTCACAAAATCACCCTCCACGACAGGTAATTTACCGCTGCCTGTCTTTGTTGAGATGAATATGTACGAATATGTCTTTCACATCATTTAGATTCCCCCCCCCACCCCCAAAAAAAAGATTCAAAGATTGCCTATGTTTTTGTGTCATGGATTGGATAAAAAACACACAAATGTTTTCATTACCTGATTGACAACGTTGTCACCTATGGTAGTCATCATCTTTGTGAAGTTATACGGGATAAGACCAGCAATCTGATTGGATATCCCGTTTTCATGACAAGGGGCACAAGCCGTGATGTACGTGAGGTGGCGCCAGGGTTGAGCCAAGAAATGTGGCATTGTTGTGGCAAGGGTAGAAACTAGGGTTTGATTATAGGCTTGTGGACACGCTTGCCTTTGGAAGATGTGTGACAACAAGCTTCATGCTTTTATCAAAAGCTACTGTAAATGAGTGCAGAAAACATCTGATTTCCATTCCAAAACATATGAAAGCACCAATGAAATTCCTTGTACTATATCCAAAGTGAGACAAATAACCAATGAGTGATTATTTAACAGAACTAGAAAGAAAACCTTCCTGGATTGCGAAAACAAAATAATTTCTCATCTCAATGTGAGTGAGTGAGTTTGGTTAACAGTATATATTCCAGTTATATCCCGGCATGTCAGCTTAATGTGAGAGGAAAGCCCGAAGTGATGCAGGTCTCAGACGTTTACCACTTCAGTGAAACCCACGAGCACGGGTATGGTGCTGACACACCTAGAAACACAACAGGGGCGAACCGGGATTCGAATCCACAATCATAGGTTTCTGGCATGTCCAAGGGACGCAACTTTGCACAGCAAATCGTGGCGCCTTAGACGACTGGGCCACCCGTGCCCCCTCATCACAATGTAAGAGACATAACTATGAAATAAACATACCTATGGCTACAGTTGTTTCAGGTTTCAGATTTCTGGGTGTTATTGAGTAGTATGCCCAAAAGTTTCATTTGGATGGCGTTGGTTCAAATGTTAAATTTTCTCATCAACTAATACTCACTGACACCTGTAGAATTGAAACTACACAAAGTTCATCTACAACTTCACATCCGAATGTTCTCAAGAACTCTCTGCATCCCTGTCCTCTGAGAACTCAGTTGACCCAATTGAAGTTACTCAGGAATGTTAGGATGTTGTGACAAAATGGATCATATATTTCCATGACAACTGATCTCAGAAAGAGAAAAAACAAATGAACAAATTCAAAGATCTTCTGATAAATATTCATCAAATCTAATACATAATTGATGTGTTGTCCATTTTGTCCAGCAGAACGACCAGAATTTCAAATTTGGAAATATGAACAATTATGATACCATTTGAGCATACAAAGATTTCCGTGTTTCCATTCTGGCTTAGCAATGCGTTTAAAAAAACCCAGATCTCAGCACACACTCCACCATTTGTTTTGCAATATTCAGTAGCCAGATGGACGGGCAACAATACAAAATTCCACTGACATTGTCCAGCGGGCCATCAGTTTTTCCAAACCGAAAAAAGACGTAATTAAAAAACAGCCTTAATTACTGGGAGATTGTTACTTGTGATACTGTGTACAGAAAGTATGCAGAATATCTCGGAAAATATTAAAGCCATTTAACATAATTTCATATATGGCAAAAACAATGTAAATCACACAACCTAAATAATATACTGAAGCCGTGTCGTGTTGACAATGTGAAACATGAATCGTCTGTCATACATAAATATAAATAAGAGAATGCTCATTAAATACAGGAGGGGCTGGGTTCAGTGGTTGTTGATGCAATAATGTCCTTTAAACAATGACCCTCCCCTAATGCTTGTCATATTTTTGGATGACCCTCCCCATGTCCTTGTACATTATTTTCATGACCCTCCCTGAAAAGGCTATTGCAAAAGCACTTTATATTTGATCATAAAATGTCCATTTCCTCATGAGTATGTGTGGTATGTTTCATGACCCACCCCTTGAGACTGTCCTATATTTTGGTGACCCTCCCCCGATTCTCTCTGACCCCCGACCCCCTATATCACATGACTGGTCGATAATATTTTCATTAATTCCCAAATTCTGTTTGATAAGTGAACTGAAAATCAATGTGCAAGTGCAGACAGATGAACATGCCCAACAGTGCATCGGTCAGTGCTGCTGCTGCGTATTATGACGCATAACAAACAATAGTGGCGGTGATGTGTTCATGGAACAGATAGAGATAACAAATGTGATGAGGATGGTGTTTCATGTTCTGCAGACATTTACAGCTGTGTCAGACATTTACAGCTGTGTCAGACAGTTACAGCTTATCAGACATTTACAGCTGTGTCCATTATTTACAGCTGTGTCAGGCATTTACAGCTGTATCAGACATTTACAGCAATATCAGACATTTACAGCTGTGTCAGACATTTACAGCTGTGACAGACAGTTACAGCTGTATCAGACATTTACAGCTGTGTCAGACATTTACAGCTGTCAGACAGTAACAGCTGTATCAGACATTTACAGCTGTGTCAGACATTTACAGCTGTCAGACAGTTACAGCTGTATCAGACATTTACAGCTGTATCAGACATTTACAGCTGTATCAGACATAATCAATATTAATCTTTAAGATATATAACGGAATTAAATTCAACTTTAAATAATAAAAAAATCCACACAAAAAACAAATATTCCCTAGTTCATCCTTTGTATATAGATGCCATGGTGCTCAGAAACAACAGGTGTATAAAATATCCAGATACATGCCCATTAGAATGTTTCGCTCACTGACAGCAAGGAAATCAAAAGCCTTAATGCTGACAGGCAGATTAGAAAGTTCACCTGATGCGACTTCCTTGGCAGAGTGTTGTCAGATCTTCGTGCAGCAAGGTATCATATGAGAGTCAAAAACCTGATATAAACGAGATTGAAAGGTAACAATTCTACAAACCAAAAAAGGAATAGAGACATCACTGTTCCTAGTGGACTCTGACAAGGACAGCATGATAAGTTCTCGAGGAAGAACAGTGTAAAAGTATAAAGTCAAATGGCAATCCAATAAATTGCCTGCAAATTCTAATTAAATAACAAAGCTGCTCTGCTCTATAACTACATGCAGAATCACTATGTAGACAGTGATGAAATAAATAACATAATCAAGACTACACTGTATACTGTCAGTTAACAAAATATGCACTAAAACATGCAACAGGTCGGCAAGTCAATCTCAAAATATACACTCAAATAATATATGATTGTACAGACACAGGCGTCTTCACTAAAAAATGCAAAGGTGTGAATTGTGGAAACTGTCATCTTCTACTTAAAATTGTCCCTATAATAAACAAGTGACACAAGAAAGACTTAACCTTAAATGAGTGCCCGTGAGAATCTATGGAAATAGTGAGGTTCTTCTCCTGAGCGTAAGCCCTTTCTTTAGTCCTTCCTGGTAGAGGGTGTGTTGGTGGCAGGCAGCAAAGTGATTACAGTTCTGGCTCAATGAGACAAAGAACGAGTTTTGATTCCTTACATAGGCAGAATATGTGAAGCCTATTTTTGGTGTCCTCTGCCATATTTGAAGCTGTGTAAAATTGACTCACTCACTCACTCGCCACACAGTTACATTAGTGAGTGGGTGAGTTGGGTTTAACGCCGCTTTTAACAGTATTCCAGTTATATCACGGCGTATCAGCTTAATGTGTGAGGAAAGCCCGAAGTGATGCAGGTCTCGGACGTTTACCACTTCTGTGAAACCCACCAGCAAGGGTATGGTGCTGACAAACCTAGAAACATAATCAGGGCGAACCGGGATTCGAACCCACAATCATAGGTTTCTGGCGTGCCCAAGGGACGCAACTCTGCACAGTGAATTGCATGTGCCTTAGACGACTGGGCCACCCGTGCCCCCAGTTACATTAGTTGAGGCCCGTGAAGACGCCGGGGTAGAATAGGTCTTCAGCAACCCATACTTGCCGTAAGAGGCGACTATGCTTGTTGTAAAAGGCGACTAACGGGATCCTGTGGTCAGGCTCGCTGACTTGGTTGATACATGTCATCGATCCCAATTGCGTGGATTGATGCTCATGATATTAATCACTGGATTGTCTGGTCCAGACTCAATTAATTCCAGACCGCCGTCATATAGCTGGAATATTGCTGATTGCGGCGTTAAACAACCAACCAACCAACCAACCAACCAACCAACCAACATTAGTTGATGTGTAGTTTCCTTTTGTTTGAAAGTGAGTGAGCGAATTGAATTTTGAACAATAGTTCATGGCATGTCAGCTATATGTGGGGGGGAAACCATTTCAGCAGGATTTCTTTGCAGATCGGACATCAATCTGTGGCAAGGTATGGGTCACCTTGACAGCAACAAGATATCTTGCCAAAGGGACATCTACACATAGTGTTTTAGTATTAGGCATAAAATATGTTTCTCATCAGGAGCTTATTTTCAACATGGCTTTTTTCTTCTCAGAAGGCAGTTGTTCAAACAAACCAGTTAGCAGCCATTGCAACATGTTTCAGATAAGGAAAGATGACTCATACATTAAAATCCGGACAATTCAAACATTGACAGAACTAATACTGAAACTGGAGTTTTTACCAGATAAATCCAAAACATATTTACCACCATGAAAAAGGAATGTTAACATGGTATGTTTAAAATAACCAGCACAATGAGAAATATCTAAAATTCTTCATGATTTTCAGAGGTAATTCGCTGATACAGAGAAGCAAGTGTACCTTCCAACACGCACATCAACCTCACCAAAACCTGATGAAAATTCTATTTCCTCTAACCTTTTCCCCAGGAGAATAATGTGTTACATGTATTTTTTAATAGAAAAATATGTTGTGTAGAAAACAAAATGATAGTCCTACAACATTTGATCTCGGATCCAATGATCTTTGAGTGAGTGAGAGGGTTGGGTTTAACACTGCTTTTAACAGTATTCCAGTTATGTCAGGCGTGTCAGCTTTATGTGGGAGGAAAGCCCGAAGCGATGTAGGTCTCAGACGTTCGGTGAAACCCACGAGCACGGGTATGGTGCTGACAAACCTAGAAACATAATCGGGGCTAACCAGGATTCGAACCAACAATCATAGGTTTCTGGCATGCCCCGGGGACGCAACAATGATCTTTGAATAACATTCAGCACGTAGAGTTTGGGGTCAATCAGCAGTTTCTCTTTAAAACCAGTCGACTAACCATAGCCATGTGTTGAGATTCTGCCTGAAAGTTTGTGATCACACAGCCTGGAACTGCACTGTCATTCCTATATAATATATGCTCAGAAAGTCTGAACTTAAGGGCAGTCCAGGTTGTTATATACCCCTTCGAGAATCTTTTGCATCTTGAATGAATATAATTGCCAAGCCAACAAACATCATAAATTAAATATTAGTATGTATATAAACACTCACTAGTGACCCCATTGTAAAATGCCTATTGCCATATAACATGCCCTACTATGATACCGAGGCAGGATGTCAGTCCTTCATCTTGACAATTGTTGCCATGGCAATGTAAGTACAAACACTATTGACAGGGACTTCCTGGATATCGGTTGCCATCTTCAGCTGACTGGTACAATGCAAGAAAACAGAGTTCAAATTTCTGACTGCTACTTGCCAAATTGAAAATATGTACAGGAAAGACCAACAGGAAAAGTCAATTAAATTTGATTTAGTATAAATTTGCCACCATTTATAAAACTGCAAAATTCAAACTAACTACAATGCCCTTCCTTGTCATAAATTCAGCAAGTCTTCAATAGATTTTTGTCGTGAGAATTCTTCGAAGCACCTCTGTCCATCCATATACTGGTGAACACTCTCATCTACATCCTCCTTGCGGAGGTCGGTACTGAAGGAATGCAGGCGCCGACCTCGGTTCTGTGCAAGCCTGGAACATCAAGGGAAGCAGGTTGTAATCGACAGTATTTCATCCATGTTACCATGGTTACAGCCAACATAAATATGTCTAAGGCAGGAAAACCAGCAACTGTTGACTCTTTCTTATCTCACCTTCACATTACATGTTACCCTGGATTGGTTGTGCGTGTTTGAGTGAGGTTATACGCCGCTTTCAGCACTATTCCTGCAATATCATGGTGGGAGACACCACAAATGGGCTTTACATATTGTACCCATGTCGGATCTTCGGCGTGTAACGATACGGCGATACAGTATTGTATCCCGATGCACAGCCCACGATACGATGCATCGATTTGGAAAGCACGTATCGCAATACATACGATATTTTCATAACACAGTTTTACCTACCGTATTTTCTTGAGTAAAGTGCGCACTTTTTTTCCCAAAAAACACAGCTGTGTAGAAGGGGTTGCGCATTATACACGGATTAATGAGTTTTGATGTTTTTTACCCCATGGAAAGACATTTCCGTGAGCACGTAACACCGGAAATACCATGTCAACAAATCCATACTGAAGTTCGCAAATTATTCATGTACTTACACTGGCTATAAAAAAAGTGTTCTTTGTATATCTGGACTCATGTTTGTAACTTATTTCATTAATTTTATTCAAAATTCCTTTTATATATTGTTTTAATTAATTTCGGCGAAATCGTGTGTGAAGCGATCGGAAGATCACACAACTCACCGTTATTAACAGAAACCACGGTCAGATTACCGCTATTGACGCCTTGAAAGGAATTTTAGTTGACAGAGAATGGATACATATATCATAAATGCCATACTTTGATTCGTTAAAAGTCAGATTTGTTTTTGTAGGACGATTCTATATCAACATGTAATTCTCGCGATCACGCGATCACGTGCACGGGAGCCTTGACGGTGACTGGTCAGACTGGTTCCATATAAAAAATAATACCCGGCAATAGCGATCAGCTGCTTCGCTTAGGGTTATTATTATTTTAAATATGTTTAGTAAAAGCTGCATCTAAATTAACAATATATTGGAATATATTATTCCTGATAAAAAAATAGTTTCAGATACAACTTTTGCCGATCCTTGCATTAAAATACTGTGAAGTTATATCATTGGGTGTGTCTTGACCGAATCACCGGTAGATTCCAAGAAAACGTGTGTACATGTACAGCTGATTGCTGTGTCCGGCTTAGTTTACGAGAAAATACACAAGGTAATCTTAATCCCTGGATATAAAACAATGCCTAGCTGAACAAAAAATACAATTTAAACGGTAAATCAACATGTCTGGTGATTTTTTATCTCAAATTTCGAATTTGTACCGACGAAGTTTCTCATCACCCGTTCGTTTGCCGGACTTCGCTGAAGGGGTACGGTGTAATTTTTTTCTGCGCATAATATTCAAATTTCTTTTTTTCAAAAATATTGAACCCGCTAGAGGGGCGTGCGCATTATACATTGGTGCGCACCATACTAACGAAAATACATGAAATACATGGGCAGATACAGCTTTTTTGAAAAGGGGGGGGTGCACAATTAAGATCTATTTATTGTATTTGGTGGTAATTTATACAGAAATAAAGATTTTTTTCGAAATGAATAAAGGGGGGGGGGGGGTTCGCGCCCATGATATACGTTTAACAGTTTCAAAGCCAGTTTGTTGTTTCAGTAAAACATACTGTATTGCTGACAATTTGCTATAACAGTAAATAAACACCTTATATCTTCTTTTACTGTACTTGTCACATCTTTTAGATAGCAGAAAGACATCAACTTGGCTTAGCTTGTACCAATAAACACTGTATCGTGATACGTATCGTATCGCGACCCCTGTATCGCGTTACGTATCGTATCGCGACCCTCCCGTATCGTTACACCTCTATCGGCGTGATGATCAAATGCATTAACAACTAGGCTACCCGACCGCCCCTAAATTGGTCACAGATTGTCTTGCATCTGATGCATGGCAGGTCAAAGATTGTCTCAAGGTCACAGACTGTGTTTCATCTTCATCGTTTCAAGCAACAGCCATTCTGGCCATCCAATTCACCTATGATTGGAATGTCAAACTGACAGACATCATGGACTGAACACTTCCTACAGACATCATGGACTGAACACGTCCTACAGACATCATGGACTGAACAAGTCCTACAGACATCATGGACTGAACACGTCCTACAGACATCATGGACTGAACACGTCCTACAGACATCATGGACTGAACAAGTCCTACAGACATCATGGACTGAACACGTCCTACAGACATCATGGACTGAACACGTCCTACAGACATCATGGACTGAACACGTCCTACAGACATCATGGACTGAACAAGTCCTACAGACATCATGGACTGAACACGTCCTACAGACATCATGGACTAAACACTTCCTACAGACATCATGGACTGAACACGTCCTACAGACATCATGGACTGAACACGTCCTACAGACATCATGGACTGAACACGTCTTACAGACATCATGGACTGAACAAGTCCTACAGACATCATGGACTGAACACGTCCTACAGACATCATGGACTGAACACGTCCTACAGACATCATGGACTGAACACGTCCAACAGACATCATGGACTGAACAAGTCCTACAGACATCATGGACTGAACATGTCCTACAGACATCATGGACTGAACACGTCCTACAGACATCATGGACTGAACACGTCCTACAGACAGCATGGACTGAACACGTCCTACAGCAAACTGACTTACCTTGAAAAATCATCCTCTAGGTCTTCTTCTCTGTCACCAAATTCTTGCTGGAAAGAGAAAACAAATATATTTCAAAAAGGGACTATTTCTAACAAAAACAAATGTGCTACCCACCTTGGTGCTGTTGTACAAAGCGATCTTAGCGATAAGGTGATTGTAACTCCCATTCCTTAACATAGCCTTAAGGAGTCGTAGCGCTAAGATTGTTTTGTACAACCGCACCCTGGATCCACTACTTTAAAGGAGAGCTAGGGTAGCCCAGTGGTTAGAGCGTACGCTTGTCACTCCAAAGACAAAGGTTCAATTCCCAAAATAGGTGCAATGTGTGAAGTCCATTTCTGGTGTCACCAACCGTGATATTGCTGGAAAACTGCCAAAAATGGTATAAAACCATCATCACTCATAAGCCTCAAGGGGAGGAAAGAATGAATTCTAAACATGGGTAAACACAGACTTGTTGAAGATATGCAGAAACGCATTTATGAAAAGTGGGCGCTAAGCACGCTGGGACGATCCATTTTTTCCTGACAGGCCCCAGGGCGTATGTGCATACCAGACACATGGGAGGTATGTGCAGATATTGCTACAGGCGACACTCTCAACCTTGCAGAGATCCGAACCATGCCACTCATTCATTCATAGTCACTGGGGTCACAATGCTGGTCCCGCCACCTCAGCTGTGTGTGTGTGTGTGTGTGTGTGTGTGTGTGTGTGCCAGTGGCATCAGAGAGAGACCAGCAATGTTAGCTTCTATTATGACTACAGCCAAGTGTGTGAATGGGGTTTCAGCAATATTCTATACAGCTGTACATAACACAGCATGAGCCTGCAAACCAGTGGTTGATAGTGTGAACAACGATCAACACTGTTGGCCTACTTTGATGTGGGGTGGGGTGGGGTGGGGTGGGGTGGGGTGTGAGTGAATGAGTGAGTGAGTGAGTGAGTGAGTGAGTGAGTGAGTGAGTGAGTGAGTGAGTGAGTGAGTGAGTGAGTGAGTGCAATATTCCAGCAATTCATGGCAGGGGTACCAGAAATGGGCTTCACACATTGTACCCATATCTGTGTAACCACCCATACACCACCACCACCCCCCCCCCCCCCCCCCCACCCCCCCACACACACACACACACACACACCAACACACACACCCACACACACACGGTGTACTTACCCATCCTCTCTTGTTTGTATTGCCTGGTGCCTGAACTTGCGGTGGAGCAGGGATTGCTGAAAAACAGAATACAGCTAAAGTTACAGGACACAACTGTGCTGTTCAGGCTTATCGATCCACAAGTTTCCAGCAACCAGCTACTTACAAAATAAACCAACTGAACTCTTTCCTTCCTTTTCCAAATGCTATTTTGAAATCAAAAGATAATGGTATGTACTGAGCAACACTCAAGTGCAAATTACAAGGAACAAATTTAATGAGAAGTTTCTTCCAAGTAACGTTGTGTGGAGAAGGAAATTGACCATGAATACCAGAGAATGCAGGGTTAGAAATTAATTTGTATTTTCTATACATTTCTTGTAGCCTGCAAAAAAACCCCATCTGTTTCAGATATGTAGACATCATAGAGCGGCCATCTACCTAATAGGAAAAGTGGTAGTTCACAGTGAAATATCACTAGTCATGTCTGTAATTTTGGAATCTCAGACAAGCAAACTTGTTATTTAATGTTTAATTCCAACCCCAGCAAATTGAACAACAGATTCCCTGGCCTTGAGTCTGACCTAAGAAAGGGTCGTAGGTCGCAGCTGTTGACCCCGTGTGACCTGGAAGTGGTTTTATGACATCGTGACTCCTTGTAAAATGATCGTTGTTGGTTACCTGAAACAAGTTTAGCATGTTTAACTACGAAGTTTCAGTGACAAGAACCTGCATTTGCCACTTTAGACAATATAGTACGAAATTTTACACAACCTTCACAAAGACCAAGATTATGAATACAACTAAATCTCACAGCGTAGCAAATCAAAGTGCCGTATACATGTATCACCATCAATCTACAGAGCTACAGATAAGCTAATTTACTTTCTGAGTCAAGCCTATATACTAAGAACAGTTATATGCATCTAAAAACATTATTTCATCTTTTTCACATCTTAAAATGTTCACTAATTTGGGGAAAAACCCAAAAGAGTGATCAATAGATGAGTGAAAAAATATAGGTTACTCCATAAAAAAACATAATAACCCAATTAAAATAGAAACCCTAGAGTAAAAACTCAATTGTTCAAAAAGTTATCTGGGGCTCTGTATCCACAACATGTATGACTTATTCACACCTAAAATGAGGGGTTATGGAGGGGATTATGGAGGGGATTATGGAGGGGGGTTGTGTAGGGGGATTGTGGAGGGGGATTGTGGAGGGGGGTTATGGAGGGGGGTTATGGAGGTGATTATGGAGGGGGGTTATGGAGGGGGGTTATGGAGGGGGGTTATTGAGGGGGTCACGACAAGGCATCGTTGGAAAATACAAAGGAAGACCTGCACAATTTAATTGTAAATGTAGGGATTATGTATACTCTGGTGATGTGCTTCAGTCCGGGTTATATACATTTGCATCAATTTTGCTTTTACAGTGGGGCCCTGTGGGGGTGTCACCATATATAGGCGGTGGTGCTCAGTAGACAGCGATATAGGCTGATATGATTTTCTCAGATATGAACAAGCATGTTTTCAAACAAAATTCCGTCATATTTATCAATATTTATAACAATTATATATCCTGTTCATTTTAGAAACAAGTTGGACCAACAGCTGCCTTCTAAACTTGACCATGGATACAGGTGACTATGGTGACATTCTTATAAATCGTTAAAGTTGATATTCAGAAGGGCAAACAAAAATCACAGGACCCTTGAAACCTGGATGAACAGTAAAAGCACGCCACTGAACACCTTCTCTGTCTCTTTATTGTGTAATATATTTGGAAAATTTTCATCATGCCAGTAAATCAGTTTGAAGGTACCGTATGTCTGCAGATAAGCCGAATTTTGAGGACCAGAAAAAAGATTCTGTAGAAAGGGGTCGGCTTATCCACGGGATACACTTTCATGATAGTATTTTTCAGATCGTGATCTGTCAGAAACATCGCCTGAATGACGGTCCGATATATTACAACTTTCCGAAAGTTTGAAAGTTGCCACGACTAGAGCCATTATTGTTATAAATTATCAATAAAGTTATTATTATACACCAATATTGTCATTATTAAAAAAATGTTATGCATGTTACTACTTCCGATAATACGTTTTCAATTCAATGTTCAAAGTTTATCGTTCTTCTTCATAAACTCCACAATCTTTACATGTAACAATATATGTAATCCACAGCTATAATATATAATCCACAGATGAAATCGCCAATAGCTAAGGTAAGATAGGTGAATGGAGCGTTAGGCATTGTTAGGATGTCAGAAAAGCTAACGAGTAAATATTGCTTGATGCGGCATCAGCAATATTGCAGCTAATTACAGCAAGACTTGAGAGACAGGAGAAGCTACATGTTGGAATGCTATCTTCAAAATGATGCAGCATTATCAATGATTATGGGGCACCCGTGTACAGGTCGAGTTTGGCCCCTAGGGTCATACAGTTCCCAATTGTGGTGCAGTTGAGTGAGTGAGTATGGTTTTACGCCGCTTTTTGCAATATTCCAGCAATATCACGGCGGGGGACACCAGAAATGGGCTTCACACATTGTACCCATGTCTGGAATCGAACCCGGGTCTTCTGCGTGACAAGCTAACGCTTTAACCACTAGGCTACGCGACCGCCCCGTGGTGCAGTTGAAGCCATCCTTAGAATGTCAGAAAACCTGATATACTTGTTAAAAACCAGAAACTGACTGCCATTTAAATATTTTGAATATTTTACTGTGAAATTTCTTTAAAAACAACCCCTCATCTAATTTAGACAATTTTAGGCTTAGCTATGGACTGGGAGGATAAAGACAGTCTGACACTGTGAGCAGCGATCCACACTGTTGGGGTATGATGACACGCTATCAACCAAGTCACCGATCCTGACCACCACCCAATTACTTGGTGACCTCGTACAACCAGTACAGGTCGCTGGGGACCTATTCTAACCTGGAAGCCCCACGGGGAGCATCTTCCCGAGGTAAGGGAGTTAACTGACTTTAAAAGTCCAGTTTCCACCCTTGCCGAACTAGGCTGGAATTACTGGGCTCGATCGTTGCGCCACCAGTGGCTATTACCAATTATGTCTCTTCTAAGCCTCTCCTATGGACCAATCAGATTCCACCTCTCGTATCACTTGCGTTTGCTTCACACAAAATGGTGGCGCCCAGTCAGGACGATCTGATCGATAATCAAGTTCTATATTGTGATAAAATGGGTCTTACGTCGCAAAATGCATCGATCCCGTGAGCACCTTGATTAAAAACATGAAAGGATTTGGAAAATATCTGCTGACAAAGAATTGGCGATGCACATGCTTTGCAAACCCTGCAATCGATCGAAATCGGCACGACAGTTTACGAACCGGATTTTAATTTCGGTGCCCGATTTTGATTGGACTATGCATTGACTCGTTAGTCCAGACAAAACGTAACTCCATAATACCAGCCTACTGGAAGGGTGGAGTGAGTGAGTGAGTGAGTATGGTTTTACGCCGCTTTTAGCAATATTCCAGCAATATCACGGCGGGGGACACCAGAAATGGGCTTCACACATTGTGCCCATGTCGGGAATCGAACCCGGGTCTTCGGCGTGACGAGCGAACGCTTTAACCACTAGGCTACCCGACCGCCCCAGTGGAAGGGTGGAAACTTGACTGGAAACTGGAAAGATGCACAGGAAGTGATCCATGAGTATCTCTAACAGTGCTACACATACCTTCTGGTGGTTGGCTATGTCCTTCTGGGTCTTCAAGTTCTGCTTGTTGTCCCACTTCTCCTGGGCCAGACCGAAGGCTTGAGACACGGTCAGAGTGACTGCCTGCGCCTACACACAAAGGGAGTTAGGTCTGAATTCACAGGGATGGTCATTCGGTTACCGTATTAAATGTATTAAGTGCCCTGCTCCAATAAGTGCCCCCAAACTTTTACACCGATCTGTGAGTAATCTTTATAAGCGCCCCTACTAAGACAGAAGAAATACATCAGTCTTGTGCTTACTGCATATTATACAAAGAAAGGAATAGCAGTGTCTGCTCTGGCTTAAATTTTCTTGGGGTCACTTGGACCCCTTCATCATAAAATTAGGGGTCCCAAACAAAAATGGAGGGGTCTAATTTATAGCATTATAACATAACATTAACAACAGAACACAGTGGTTGTGAAAAATAAGAAATCTTTTCGCAACTGCAAAATATCAACAAACAGGCAAAGTGAGAGAAAGGTTCACATCAGGGCACATCCTGCTCTCATAACCAAGAGGTTTACATTAAGGGACAAACAATTTCTTAAAAGGGACATTTGATATTAATGAATATTATAACACAAAATTATCCATGTTAATATCTAACTTCGTATATGAAAAGGCAGTACACGGGTCAGCCATTGGTAAGGGGTCATTGTGACAGACATTTGTGAATGTTTTTACCGAGATCTACCAATGATTTGAAGTTTTGGATTCAGTTAAGTTCAATAGCTGTTCTGATGCTACTGTACTGAGCATTGAGTTCATGTTGTAACTGTGACAATGATCAATGAGTCATAAAATATAATTGGCATATCAAACGTTTTTTTAGTAAGAGTATGTTCAGGATCCAGCATTTCCTTGATAAATCAACATGTTTCAGGTGCTATAAATGTTTAAACATGTCAGTTACACCAATAACGGTCCTGGCAAAATGTGTTTTGCAATTCTTAATATAACTCACAAGAGATTGAATTATTATCAGCTTGATAAGTCTGTTGTAGAATAACTAAATATTCAGAGTCCGCTAAATAAAAACAATGCTTACATCATTGTACATTCAAGTGTTCGCATTCATTCTTTATCATATACAGTATCGCGGTATTGATAAATCTCGTAATCCACACAACCTGTCGACTGTTTACTTATGCAAATCTAAGCACGATATATTTCATCGCATGATCGAATACAGGACTCGTTGCGGTATGTCACGGCTACTTGTACACACGTTAACTTTTTTATGACAGTTCCTGGGATGTTTTTGAAGTGGAATTACCCCTTCCTCCATTCAAAATTGATTAGAAAAAGAACCCATTTGTTCAAACGAAGTCCCTTGACCAAACCTCGGTCGTATGCAAAATTCAAAACAGGAAGTGATATACCATATAATCCACACAGCCTTACTTACTGCGGTAAGATTCACCAATGACAGGTACTTTGTTTACCGAACTTGGTAAAGAAAATCAGCATCAATCATTCCAATGAACAACAAACATTTTGTGAATCACATATTTAATAAGTTTGTAAGCGTGCCCCACTACGATCCATTATAAATTAACTACCGCGATAACATAGCGTATCATCCTACACGGTCGCTCCATTTCGCGGGTCACTGTTACCACGTTCTGAAGTATACCCTGGCTATTTTTAGTTTGACACAAGGTCAGGATGTTTTCGACCAATCAGCAAGCTAAATTAATTACGACTATATCCGACTTGCTTAATATGTGGCACCTGATTGGCTGAAGCAAAGCTACGGACCATACCGAAAATTAATACATGCAAAACCGACAATAGATATAGGTCAAGAAACCGGTTTGGGTATTTGTCATAAAAAGGGAGAGAATAATGAAACTGGTTTGGTTTAGCAAACGGAAGTGTTAATCAACATGCTTCGCTGTCTTGTTTGGCAACAAATACCTTTACGCAAAGACGTACGTCTTTGATTTACGATATCAGTGTCAATTCAATATGAAATTAATATAGCCCCAGTCACTGCGTCCACGAGACCCACACATGTTACGCAGGTGCGTTCAAACTTATTTTTGTGCGTCCAAGACGCAAAAACGCGCTCTTCAGCCAACACTGGAATAGTATAGAAGGTGTATAAAATTGCCTGGTAACTATATGAGTGAGTAAGTATGGTTTTACGCCGCTTTTAGCAATATTCAAGCAATATCACGGCGGGGGACATCAGAAATGGGCTTCACACATTGTACCCATGTTGGGAATCGAACCCGGGTCTTCAGCTTGACGAGCTAACGCTTTAACCACAAGGCTACTTGACCGCCCCGGTAACTATATCAAAACAATTTCTTTGACGCTTGAACAAAAATTGTTCATTACCACTCGATCCCTGACAACAAATATAACTTGTTGTTAATGGTTTTAATAAGCCCGATTGTCAATTTTCTAAGTGCCCGGGGCGGTTATTATAGTGAATATGGCATATCAGCGAGGAAAACTCAGTGTGAAGCAGGCTGTAAATGATTATCCCTTTTAATTAACTCATTGGTATGGCATGGATCATTATCAGGGCAAATCTGGGATTTAAACCCACGACAAGCGGATCCTGGAACAGCTAGGGAAGACAACTCTGTCCAGAGAGATATACATGATAACAGCACATGAGACCACTGACCATATGTGTTCCCTGAAATGTCAAGAGATTACACATCCAAAGCCTACAGATCCTTGAAACTATAATGGCAAATAATTCTCATCATTAAACATGTAACAGGGACGTTCACGATCCATGAGAGCAAAAGCACAGATGGCTGATACCTTTTATAATTACCATAATAATGTTTGTGTTTGTATTGATTAGCAGTCCTCCATAGAACTAACTGGGAAGACAAAAACATAACAATTGATCTCTTAACATGTTCATATGGGAAATAATCTATATCTGAAGATCAAATCTGAGCCAGGAATGGAAAAATCTATAATTACTTAACCCCGAATAACTGCAAGGAGGAAGTAGAAAGATATCGTATTTTCTTGAGTAGTGTGCAACCAAGTATTCGAATATTACGTGCAGAAAGAAAATTACACCGTTCCCCTTCAGCGAGTTCCGGTGAACGAACGGGTGATAAAAAACTTGTTCAGTACAAATTTGAAATTTGAGATAAAAAAATCACCTGACATGTCTATTTACCTTTTAAATTGTATTTTTTGTTCTGCTAGGCATTGTTTTACATCCAGGGATTACGATTACCTTGAGTATTTTCTCGAAAACTAAGCCGGAAACAGCAATTAGCTGTTTTCTTGGAATCTACTTGTGATTCGGTTAAAACCTACCCATTGATATAACTTTAAAGGATTTTGATGCAAGGATAAGGGAAAATTGTATCTAAAGGTTTTTTTTATCAGGAATGATATCTTCCAATATCTTGTTATTTTAGTTGCAGCTTGTACTAAATATATTTAAAATAATAATCAGATTCAGTTTCAACCTCCACTTATGCAATCCAATAATTATTGATTACTGTAACCAATCACCCGGCGCCATAGTGCCTGCACGGCATACAGATCATGACAGGGAAGTATGTTTCAGAACATTACGTCAACACACTGGTGAATGAACAGCAGGACGCTGAGAGAGACGCCCAGGAGGTCGGACTGGGGTCAGGATTTACCGGACTGTTTCAGATTTAGACCACACTCTTACATCGTCTAAATGCAATTCTCAAGGTTTGTTTGACAGGCTGGGGAGGCCCTACACAAAATGGTAAACAATACAACAAAGGAACATGGATAGTCCCTTAAAAGATATTTTACAGTAACCATGGCAACCATGACAACAATGGTTAGGCCAAAAAACCCAACCCAAACCCCCAAGATGACCTCAACACTGATTGTGTTACGAGTGAGTGAGTGAGTGAGTATTGTTTGACGCCGCTTTTAGCTATGTTCCAGCAATATCACAGCAGGGGACACCAGAAATGGCCTTCACACATTCTTCCCATTTGGGAAATCAAACCTGGGTCTTCGACGTGAGGCTTTAACCACAAGGCTACCCCACCAACCCGTGTTAAGTAGGTAACCATGGTAATGTGTACCAGACCAATTTAATTCCTTGTTTTATCATACTGATAGATTATTATCACCAAAATACCTAAGAGGGGAAAAAAGGCTCTCAGTATAACATGTTATGAACATATCAAAGACTAAATTTATGACTGCATTGCTTCTATTAAAATGAGGGGCGGTCAGGTAGCCTAGTAATTTAAGGGTTCACTCGTCACGCCGAAGACCCGGGTTCGATTCGCGACATGGGTACAATGTGTGAAGCCTATTTCTGGTGTCCCTCGCCGCGATATTGCTGGAATATTGCTAAAAGCGGCGTAAAGTCAAACTCACTCACTCACCCTATTAAAATGATTACAGTATTTTCATGTACATTTCTTAAAACCTCAGTAGCAGTACTGGGGTGGTCGGAAGAGAACAAATTGACCGTCTTCAGGAAATGTCAGGGTTCCTTGGTATCAAACATGATCTCTGGGGGTCTAACATTTATTCCTTGCACTTTCAGTCAGCAAGTTGCACTTTTGTGCAGGATGTCACCTTACCAGTTTCCTTTTGGCGCAGAAATATGCATGACATTCCATTGTTTCATTGATGGAGTTCCTGGCGATGAAGGCAAACACCTTCTCATGGTTTTTGTCAGCTGTGCAAAAGGAGATCCTACAACAGACCGAAGCAGGTGAGAGACACTGGACATCCACAAACTACAGCTGTTGACATGATCCCACAACAATAACACTTCTCTCCAATGCTGTGCAAATAGGACTATTGATCATGATGAGAAAAAGAAGATCATACACACTTTACCTTGAACATGTATTTGCCACACAGACAGAATGTTAAACAAATCATTGTGTGGGGGGGTTGTTGTTTTACGCCGCACTCAGCAATACATAGGATGAAGGCCTGTAAATAATTGAGTCTGGGCCAGGCAATGCAGAGGTTGATATTATGAGTAAGGATACATGCCAGCAGGGTTATCATGGTTATAGGTTTGTTTGTTTGTTTGTTGTTTAATGCCTTACTCAGCAATATTCCAGCTGAAGGTGGTCTGTGAATGATCGATTCTGGAACAGACAATCCAGTGATTGATATCATGAGCATGGATCCACCAAATTGGGATACAATGACATGCATCAACCAAGTCAGCGAGCCTGACCACCTGATCCCGTAATTCGCCTCTTACGACAAACATAGTCGCCTTTCGCGCAAGCATGGGTTGCTGAAGACCTATTCTACCCCGGATCTTCACGGGTTCAGGGTACAAGGACACGCAATCAACCAAGTCACCACACCTGACCCTCTAGTCACAACCAGTATAGGCTGCTGGGGACCTATTCTACCCTAGAATCCCCACTGGGCAAAAATCATTGTTCTTCTGCTAGTGTCCACAGCGATGTTAGCCAAAAGAATTCCCAGTACCCAATGCTTGCCGTAAGAGCGCATTGATAACGCCTGGTTTGTTATGTGTGACCTGACTGAATGTGTGTCATCATGACCCAACAGTGTGGATGGTTCTCATGTTATTAACCACTTGTTCTATGCAGCCATTATATATGTTTGTTTTGTTTTTGTTTGTTTGTTTGCTGTTTAACGCCGCACTCAACAACACTCCAGCCATATGACGGCGGTCTGTAAATAATCAAGTCTGGACCAGTCAATCCAGTGACTGACGACATGCACATCGATCCACGCAATTGGGATCACATGCATCAACCAAGTCAGCAAGCCTGACCACCTGATCCCGTTAGTCGCCTCTTAGTACAAGCAGAGTCGCCTTTTACAGCAAGCATGGGTTGCTGAAGACCTTTTCTACCCATTATATATGAGACTGCAGGAACACTGGTGACAACAGTGAAACGCAACATCCATTCACTCATTTATTCAGACTCGCAAAGTCAGATAATGTTCCATGTCATGTGATCACAGTGCCTGCTGTGCAACAAGCCATCCTACAGTGGGCATGATGGGTGAAAGCGGTTGTGAAAATGAATAATTCTTTAACTTTCGTAAGTAAGTGAGTTGGGAATAACGTCACCTTAAGGTGTTTACCACTTCGGTGAAACCCACGATCATGGGTATGGTGTTGAGAAACAGAGAAATATAATCAGGGAGGACCAGGATCTGAACCCACGATCATAGGTTCCTGGCATGACCAAGGGATGCAACTGTGCACAGCAAATTGCCAGGCCTCAGATGACTGGGTCACCAGTGCCCGCCAAATCATATAAAACATTTTTACATAACAAGTGCCATAACCTTCAAAATGTTAATAATTTTCTCAAAAGTTCTTTCAAGTTTGATAAGGAACAATAATTCACAATAAATATTTAAACAAAATTAAAACAACATTTGGGTTAATGTAAGTTGAGAATAAACGCCAGTCTAACTCATCATGTTTTTCCAGTTTTTGAGACTTGTGTGTCACAACGACCTATATAAAAACAGAGCTATCTTCAAATGTTATTCCCGATTACAACAAACATGTTTCACATGAAACTCGCCCACAATGCAGCTGCATCCTCCTCCATAGGTTCCTACAATGTCAATTCGTAAACAGCCACATTCATGGAATTACACATGCCATACAAAAAGCCTAGCAGTGTTTGTTTACCATTCCTAGCCCATGTTGAGAACTCTTTCACCATGTGGCTCCATTCTGCCACCACCAGTTCCAGGAAGTGCCACGCCCACTGACCTAGTTACTCACCCACATTGACCCATTTTATGATAAACAATTCCCATACTTGTTTGAGTGTCAAGGAATATCAACACAGCCATGTCTAGAGACTCAGGACTAGAAATATTCACGATGTGGCAGCCACATAACCATGTCAACCGACATGACCAACCAACCCACCTATATATGGACATATCAATGGACACTTCCTTCGTCAGCAAGTCGGTCATCCGGAGCCCTGTAGGGGAGACAGTCAGAGACACTTTCTTTAGCTTCTTGCCAACACTCTTGGCCTGAAAGACAATCATTCAAAATAATGTGATACTACATTATTTGTTTGGGTGTTAATGAAGGCTGAAGAGACACAACTAAATAAAAAAACAACTTTTAATGATTTTATTTAATTTGTGCTTACATTTGGTCCTGGTCAGTCAGTCTGAAAAACTAATTACAATTGGTGGAATCAAATAATCATTTTTACTAGTTTATATTTGATGTACAGATAATCATAATCAAGTAAATTTTATAGCCATTTGGCATGAAGGGAGTTTTTTAACATAATGCTAATCAACAATTTCACAGAAAAGAAGATAATATTTGTGTTAATCACAGATCAGTGTCAGAACTATAATTGATATGTTAAAACTCTGTTTTTATCACCAAAATAATATTCTAATAAGAGCTAAATAATATTCTAATTTTGAGAGCGCCCTGGGCGCTTATTACGTCAAATACGGTATTGCCAAAGTAAAATTGAATTTGAATATATCATGTACACTGCAGTACACAATACATGCATATGTACATGATGTATGTGAAACTTGGTGATGGGTCAGCACAACTAGACATTATTTGTGTGGATACAATGACATGCATCAACAAAGTCAGAGAATTTTACTGATATTTGACACACACTTGGGGTCGAATATCAGGGAAGTAATAGTGACTTTTTCCTTGTTGTCTTCCACTTTTACCAAGCATTAGATGGCAACATATTCTGTTGCAGAGAAAGGAAAATAAATGAGTGAGTGAGTATGGTTTAACGCCGCTTTTAGCAATATTCCAGCAATATCACGGCGGGGGTCACCAGAAATGGGCTTCACACATTGTACCCATGTCGGGAATCGAACCTGGGTCTTCCGCGTGGCGAGCGAACGCTTTAACCACTAGGCTTCCTGACCGCCCCACAAGGGAAAATGAAAATGCTATGTCTAACCCTTAAGACATGTTAAACATGCTCAGTGATGATGTTACAGATCTATGTCTCCTTTTGTTCAGAAGAGTCGGCTTCTGTCAAGAAGTCAACCAGGAAGATATGATGTAAGCTGTTAGTAGCATGTGTACATGGTTTGGGCTTCTTTGAACAATGCTGAACGTGTTGTAAATATTGCAACATTAAATTTTTGTGTCACATGGAAACTTGAAACAAAGGCACCTGACAGGGCTGGAACTGGTACCTCGGGTCGGGTAGGTACTGAGTAGGACCCGGGTACCCAAAGGGCTACCTGGACCTGTGGTTAGTCACGCGATATATTGTTTAATGTTTGTTAGTTTGTTTGTTTGTTGTTTAACGCCAGCTATATGACGGCTACAATTCCACCTATATAACAACAATCTGTAAATAATCGAGTCTGGACCAGACATTCACGTGATTGACAGCATGAGCATCGATCCACGCAATTGGGATACAATGACATGGCATCAACCAATTCAGGGAGTCTGACCACCCTATCCCATTGGTCGCCTCTTACGCCAAGCCTACTCGCCTCATAACACAAGCAAAGGTTGGTGAAGAACTATTCTAACCTTGATCGTCACAGATATTAATATGTTGCTAACAGTATGTGGCTTTGTGGTGCTGAATTGTATTTTGATGATAACTGGTCCATCAAAGAACGGCATTACAATATTGATTGCAATGTTAAACAAAACCTAATTCTGCACAAAATAACATTAATTTATGTGCCAAAGGTTAGAATCTTGATGTAGGATGGATTCCACATAAAACCCTGCCCTAATCATGCTAAGTTCAAACCCTGCTGAATTGCCATGTCTATTGTATAAGACTACAGCACTGGAGAGAGTAATCAGCCCTAAAGCAGGAGTTGTGTCACACTTAAAGGTCAATGTTGGTTCGATCAGTACTGGTGACCAACAGTCTGGCTATCCGCTATTGACATTAAGCATAATCATGAACATGAAACACAGCCATACACCATGATTTAGGAACATGACTACCAGAGTACCACGCATTAAAAACATACACCAGGGCCCAGGATCCATAAGGTGAGGTGAAGTGAAATACAGCGATAGAAACTGTTTTAGTACACTACCGGTTCTTATAGCATTGTTGTATAGTGATAACACATAGCAAAACCCATAAGAAAGGCAAATTTCTACTCATCCTTATGATACCTTAACTATTGGGCTGTTTGGCAAGGACTACAGGACTAGTGCCAATTTCTAACGCTGGTTTAATGTTATTAATCAAGATTATTGCACTTACATAGCAACGTGCATGTGTGTGGCTGCTTGTACTAGTCTGGACTAATGCCCATTTTATAGTGCTAGCCCACTGAGATACCATGCCACAGTTTAACATGTATACCCCACTCAGACACAGTATACTGACTGAGCTGACAAGTCATTGTTTACCCCCTTTATCATGTTTATGCTGAGCTCCAGGCAGGGTAACAACAAGTACCACCTTTTAACATCTTATTGTATGACGCAGCTGGGGATGGAACCCCCGACCTTCCGCTCTACCACTAGACCACGGAGACTGTCTGGTATCACGAAGCAGTGAGTGTGTGAGTTGGGGTTAAACGCTGCTTTTAACAGTATTACAGTTATATCGTGGCATGTCAGCTTAATGTGGGAGGAAAGCCCAAACTGATGCAGATCTTAGACGTTTACCAGTTCAGTGAAACCCACGAGCACGGGCATGATGCTGAAAACCTAGATTGAGTGAGTGAGTATAGTTTTACGCGGCTTTTAGCAACATTCCAGCAATATCACGGCGGGGGACACAAGAAATGGGCTTCACACATTGTACCCATGTTGGGAATTGAACCCGGGTCTTCGACGTGACGAGCCAACGCTTTAACCACTAGGCTACCCGACCGCCCTGACAAACCTAGAAACATAATCGGGGCGAACCGGGATTCAAACCCACAATCATAGGTTTCTGGCGTGCCCAAGGGACGCAACTCTGCACAGCGAATCGCGGCGCTTTAGACGACTGGGCCACCCGTGCCCCCTGTATCACGAAGCAATTGTGACTATCATTACCATCATAGCTCCTGTACTTTAACATAGACTTACGACATAATGATCAGTATGGAGCTAAACTGAACAAATAAAGTTAATGATCATGAGTATTTTGGGGGATATTTTTTGTCGCAGTGACTGAGCACATAACTTCATACAAAATCCCCCCCCCCCCCCCCCCAAATATTCATGATCACGAATTTTTGGTAAAATGTAGTTCCATTCCATGCAAGGACTTGATTTGTTTGTTTGTTGTTTAATGCTGCAGTCAGCAATATTAAACAGGGGTTAAACAAATACCACTGACCGACGCCCGTGCCAAGTAAGATTTAGAAGTGGGGCAAGTAATATACGTCTTCTAGCATGCCCATGGACAGATGGACAAGTATAGCACACAAAATAAACTGGGTCATGTGTCACGAGAATGTAATATAATGTGATTATGTTAAAATATTTGATTGGCTAATATTTTGCTGGTGTCCCAGACTGGCAATCTAATTTGCATACAACTACACCTGTCAACCAGTGGGATTAATACACGTCGATGTCAGGCAGGTCAACAGCGAGAACCAGGTTTTTTTCATTGATAAATCGTAGACACACTTCCATATATGGCACATGCTTCTTGGAAATGGAATGACGGACAGATGACTTCATTTCTAGGAATTTGTTACGCGAGGTAGATTTAGTGCCAACTTTTGAAGCTTCGTTTGGCCTAGCTTTGATCAAATGTTTTACTTGAATACGTAAAACTACAGCCTTTAGCTTCCAAGTGATATTAAGCACACGTCAAATCAGTAAGCTAGCGAAGGATAGAGTAGCCTCCCTTTGTCTCATTAGCACCTAGAGGGGTATCTATAATAACAATTTACATTGCCCATATTTATCGCATGCAATCAGATCATGTCACAACGGTCTATTATAAGTTTCTTTGGCGGTAGGGCAGAGAGGGATTCTGACAATTCAGATTAATCTATATCGGACATGTATGTTGGGTGTAATTGAAAACGAACATGCATCGCTAGGTGGAAAGACCAATTTCCTTAGGTTGCGTATGATGAAACAGCCTAAGTCATGAAGTGCACTATCTGTTCAGAGTACCCATACAAACGAGCTTGCAATCGAAAGAGAACTTTTTATAGATGGATGTTCAAATTTCAGAATTGAGTATTTGATCGAAGACCTACCCTTATAGAACGGATTCACAATTAATACTCAAGGATCAACATGATCAAGACATATCCTGTCTTTAGTGAAAGAGGCTGAACCTGAACCAGTATCTCTCATTCTCAGTTATGAAGCAGTAATGTTTTACTGAATTTATTAGCTTGATTTTGTGCAAGCACATTTGGAAATAGGGCAAGTAAAAATGTTGATAATACTTGCCCTTGGTCAAGTAACATTTTTCACCAATTTTAAACCCTTAATTCAAGTCTGGACTCGACAATCCAGTGATTGATATCATGAGCAACGATCCATGCAATTGGGATACAATGACGTCACATGCATCAATAAAGTCAGCAAGCCTGACCACCCGATCCTGTTAGTTGCCTCTTACGACAAGCACGGGTTGCCGAAGACCAATTCTAACCTGGAGCAAGGATCTGAAGAAATCTACTGACCATAGCAACAATAGTCTGGACAGCACGTGAACTGATGCTATCTCCGTAGCTCTCATCATCAGGCAGTTCCTCCACCAGTATGGAGCCCAGGTACTTCATGTAGAACGTCACACCCTGATCCACAACCTCATTGCTGTCCGAATCACCCCATCCTTCGCCAAGCTCTGCAGCAGAAACAACCACAACATCATACACCACAATATTCATGTTTACACTGTCGTGTTCATTCGACATTGTGGGTCATGGGATAGACTAGTGGTCAAATGTGGGCTTGATTGCCAAATACCTGGGTTCGATCCCACATACAGTAACTATGGTTATAACGAACTCAAAACGACCACTAAATTTAGTTCGTTAAAAACGTAGTCCGTTATAAGCACATATACAGCATATGGAGGTTGGTTGGTTGGTTTGTTGTTTAATGCCGCACTCAGCAATATTCCAGCCAAATGACGGCGGTCTGTATAAATAATCAAGTCTGGACCAGACAATCCAGTGATTAATATAATGAGCATCGATCCATGCAATTGGGATCGATGACATGCATCAACCAAGTCAGCGAGCCTGACCACCCGATCCTGTAAGTTGCCTTTTACGACAAGCATAGTTGCCTTTTACGGCAAGCATGGGTTGCTGAAGACCTATTCTACCCAAGAATCTTCACGGGTCGCATATGGAGGGGACCAAAACAAAAATATTTCAAGACAAAGTTGCTACAAATATATTTTTAACCTTGAAGCAAGTAAAAAGTTATTTCCATGCACTAAAAATAGACAAAGGGAAACCCTGATGGTGACATTTAGATGAATATCGCTGATGTTTTGTTCAACAACACAGATTGATAAGGTACTTTATTTGCCAGTCCACAGGGACGGGCAGTCACATGAATTGGCTTCAATCTTGTATTTTTTCATTAGTGGTAAATTTAAGTGAAAGCTCATGTGTTTTTCTTATGGATGAGTTAAAAAATACTCTTTGCCAGCTTGATTTGATTAGAAGCCAGTGCTTATCAAGGCCTTGATTACAATGTAAATATGCCTCAGTTGTAATCAGCCAATCACTGTCTCATGAAATGTTTAACTTTCATTGAGAAAATATCCTAAAACCTGAAAAACTATTTTCATTTGCATATGTCACCTTCTCGTGCTGTCATCGAAGCCCTACAGACAGCTTGTGATATGGTCACTTTGCGTTGAGATATATTGTCATGCACCTCATCGTCGCAGATGTATCAGTATATCTACATGTAAAGCACACCGAAAGGCTTGCATCAGTCCTGTCCTTTGTATTTCAGAATAAGTGTGTTTGCTCACAAACAAGAGAGAAGTCAGGGTGTGGTCATTGGAGCAGAAAATTCTCTCGCAGAATAAGGTGAGTAAAGTGTCGGGATGTCCGCTATTGTTTACAAACAAAGCTTCTGACTGGTCGACGTCCTGTCACTTTAAAACCCATCCGACAGTCATACACTAGTATATCATACTGTGTACACGGGTTTTGTTTGTTTGGTGTTTAATGCTGCAATCAGCAATTTTCCAGCTATATGACAGCGGTCTGTAAAAAATCGGGATCAAACAATCCAGACTGTCATATATTGTGGTCACCCTCCCCTGACTCCCCCATAAAAGATGACCGGTTCCGAAGAAATATGTAATTCATAATTTTAATTAATTTACATACAAAACTAAAGACACATAAACAAATGTTAGATTTGGGATAACACTTTCTTGTAGACCCATAGATCAGGTAGACCCAACACAATCAAACCTAATGGACTAGTTGTGTAAGTTTAATGTTTGCTGAAAAATGTGGAGCATGACATGGTACTTTATTTTTAACTTTCTGTCAATGACTTGCCTCACTGGGAGTGGTCACAGTGGGAGGCAGGTCAAATGTGTGGAATTGTAAATTCAGGGGGAACATTAGCAAGTGATTAGTTTTGAAGTAAATGAAAGTAAATTTTGAGTATGAGTGAGATTGAAACGATAAAATCATTGTTTTCATGTATGGTAACACAATCATTTTGATGCCTGTTATCCACTGTTGGTAGTCTAGCCTACTCGAGTATATTCACAGATGGAATACCCGACGAGTGACATTTGCACATGACATAAACAATGAGTTTATACCCGTATTCCTGTCAGAGCCGCTTCTCTGAAAACATACAAAACATGTGCCATATATGGTTACGACTAAAGAAGAGATATTTGTCGTGCCAATTCATAGTTTACTTACTTTTATGTCTTGATTTGCCTGAGACTGTAGGGCTCTTTCGAACGACTCTCAAAATTGCGTCCATATTGAAACAAGCACTGCGTGCTAAAGAATACCTTCGATGTCTTTCCGTCAGTATCACTTCCACGTTCACATACACAATACTACCACTGCAGAAGTGATATTCAAAGCTATCTACGTGCCCCGGAAGTTAAGTGAACACCGCAGACCTGAATAAACGGCTTCATCGCTATAATGTATCATCGAATTTTTGAGATAATCTCACACGGGCATGCCCATCACGCGATGAATGAGTTAGGGGAGGTAACTCTGCGTAAGTGTTTATTGACAACCACAAATGCCATCACAATGAATCACAGTAGATCTCATTTTATAAAGTGTGTTCTTGGGTTAAGTACCCGCGTTGGAAAGAGACTAAAATACGAGCGCTAAACTAATATCCCTAATATTCAACCGGTCGTTTTTTAATGCTGTATAGTGTGAAATACACATTAAATGCACAATGTCCTCGTATATACATATATATATGCCTTATGGGCCAAGTCACTGACGCATTACTCACAATGAGACAGAGCCCACTGCACGAGTTAAAAGACATAATAATTGCAACATAAAAGTATACCGGTAAAAAACATAATAGTTTCCTAATTATATTTTTGCCACGTGTTAACATGTATAAAACATACAGATGATGTATTTGTAGGTTCTAAGTTCTAACACATGAAACCTGTAGTCTGTCATACAGCTAGATCGACCCTGATACAAATATATCCAATACAGCTCATGCAAGTCTACAATGTTTGGCAAGTCTAGATTACTGCAGTATCTGAAAATGAAGAGAGTCTCTGCGTCCTTTGTGTTATATTTTCCTTTTTTTCTGTAAGATATGTTCATTTCAGAGACTAGATGTCAATCTACCTTAAGCCCCATGCACTGAGAGTTGAACACGGCTTTCTGAATTTGCTTTTACCACTTATAGGTATGACCAGAAATATGGTTCATTTTGACTAAACGGCTGGAACGTTGTTAAAACAAATTCACCAACAAAAACATTCAGTACAACATGTACAAAGGCGAAACGGATGCATGAGTGAGTATGGTTTTACGCCGCTTTTAGCATTATTCAAGCAACATCACGGCGAGGGACACCAGAAATGGGCTTCACACATTGTACCCATGAACGCATTAACCACTAGGCTACGCCACCACCCCGCATGCATGAGCATCGTGCTTGTCACTCTGGTATGGACCGGATGACAGACACACGGATGAGGAGGGGTACGGGTGGCCAAGTCGTCTAAGGCGCTCAGAGTTGCGTCCCTTGTGTACGCCAGAAACCCATGATTGCAAGCCCGTAGGGGTGTCAAATATTTGTACAAGTATCACTTGTCCCCAACTTGATTCAAATAAAACTGTTTTCTATAAAATATCCCCCCCCCCCCCCCCTGAGACCTGCATTACTTCGGGCTTTCCTCCCACATTAAGCTGACACACCGTGATATAACTGTAATATACTGTTAAAAGCGGCGTTAAACCCAACTCACTCACTCACACTCGGAGAATACGGACTAAGCTCCACTATATGCATGCACTTTGGTGTTTGTCTATAATTCGGCATTCCAAAACATCGGTTTGTATACAGGATTGTATATCATCCAGTCCGAGGCTTGCTAATCTGACCGGCACTGCGTCATAGAAGTCAGTTTGGATCACATTTGAATGTGTATACCTGTGTATATAGAATGTAAATATGAAGATGTAATAAAAAAAAATTAAGGTGAGTGAGTGTGGTTTTACGCCGCCTTTAGCAAGAGTCTAGCAACATCACGGCGGGGGACACCAGAAATGGGCTTCATATATTTTACCCATTTGTGGAATCGAACCCGGGTCTACGACGTGACGTCACTTTAACGATTGCGAATGTTGAGTGAACGATGAACTATAAAGTGACTCTTTTGGTCATCTGCCCGAAGCAGAGGTAAATGGAAACTAGGCTTTTACGGTCAGTTAACTCCCTTGCCTCGTGAATATGCAAGCTTCCCTAACGGGATATCGCTGTGAGGAGCTTGGGGAAGATGACTTTACTCTGATCTTGAGAATGTGTTCGTAGGTGTCACAAACGTATATCAGAAAGTGAAATAATGATAATTTCCATGGTCAAAGGGAAATAACTCTTTGGATGGGTCCGCTACCACCCAAAGGTGAACTGACGAATCAGAATTGCCCGTTTACTTTGGGCTGTATGCCGTTGGAAAATAAATGAATACCTGACATCTCTCTCTCTGTTTTCATTTTGCATATTGTTGCATTAAATACACAACCCGGAAGTGATGGGTTTTGATTAAGCCCAATGGCAGAGTGTAAAAGTGACTATTTGCATTAATTATTTCCATTATGAGATAATATGTATGAAGGCTGTTTATGCAAGTAGTATTCTAAATACTGTATTCCTGTTACAGGTGTGTATAGTGATTATTGTAGACATCTTGAATGTTGAGACTGATGTATCAGCAGTAGCCTTCATGCAGTATTGTGTTGTTGTTATACAGTTATATTGAAGTTCACAAATTGCTTTAAGTAAATATACCCGGTAGGTCATTATATTTCCAGGAAAAGTGTCACTAGGTAAATTATTTCTGATATTTATTCAGATGCATTCCGTTGCGCATTGTGATTGAGACTGTGGGCTGTGTGCCGTTGGAAAATAAATGAAGACCCGACATCTCCCTCCCTCTCTCTCTCTCTCTCTCTCTCTCTGTTTTAGGTTATATTGTTGTGTGGCTAACACATACATTGTAAATGGTGAATTATTGTTTGGTTTATTAAAGGGTACCTTGCTATTCCTTCACCTGCTTCATTAAAATTGTAGTTAAATCAGTACGAGCAGACTTGCATGTTACTAAAACTCTACATTTAGAAACTGTCTGAGACAGTGTCTCACTTTATTGAGAAAAGGTCAATATCGACACTTGTACTCCCGTGATTAAGACTATTGATTTAAAATAAATTCTGGAAGTTGCCGTTCCCAGTGAAATCTTGTTCTTTTCATACTGATTCCTTTAACAACAATCGCCAAGTGTTTGTTTGAGGCCGCACTCAGCAGTATTCCAGCTATATGACGGCGGTCTGTTAATAATCGAGTCTGGACCTGACAATCCAGTGATTGACATCATGAGCATCGATCCACGCATGCACTTGGGATTGACACGCACTTGACATGCATCAACCAAGTCATCGAGCCTACCCACGCGATCCCGTACAAATTATTTACAGATTTGTCTAGCGGTTGGCCAGTGGGCGCTTACAGTAGGTGAGGTGAGGTGAGGTGGGGTGAGGTGAGTTGAGGTTAAGCGTCGCGTTCAAGATTATTGCATTTATATAGCGACGTGTGTGTGTGTGTGTGTGTGTGTGTGTGTGTGTGTGTGTGTGTGTGTGTGTGTGTGTGTGTGTGTGTACTTGTACTGGTCCGGACTGACGCCGATTTTATAGTGCTGGCCCACTCAGATACCATGCCGCAGTTTAACATGAATACCCCATTCAGACACAGTATACTGACTACGAGCCGACCAGTCCTTGTTTCAGCCCCTTAATGCCGAGCGCCATACAGGGTAACAACAAATACCATCATTTAACGTCCTTTGATATGACGCGGCCGGGGATCGAACCGCCCGACCTTCTGCTCTCAGGGAGGACGCTCTACCACTATAGACCACTAGAACAAGGAGGCGGTCCAAATACAGAAGGCCATTTTGCGTGAACGTAGCTAGGTTTACATGGGAATGTCAGTAGGTATTGGTGAAACATCCGGGCATCGACCCAAGGGTGGGCGTTGTTTTTACGCGCAGTTCCCATGCATGGCGTAGACATGCGCAGAAAAGTGATAGATCTACTATACAACACTGGCCTGATTGATTCAATGCATACCCCGACATCGTTTAACGTGACTTCCCCTCGCTCTCTCTCTCTTTCTCTCACACACACACACAAACATAAAGTCAAGCCTCCCCCAACACACACACACACACACACACACACACACACACACACACACACACACACACACACACACACACACACACACACACACACACAAAGACACCCCCCCCCCCCTCCTCCTCCTCCTCCGACACACACACACGCACGCACGCACACACACAGACACACACACACAGAGACACACGCAAGCACGCACGCACGCACGGACGCACGCACACAAACACATGTGAAGACTGTTGTGCGCAGTGGAGGCTGAGTGAACAACACAGGTATCGTTTACAGGCATCAAGTGTTTAGTAGTTCATATAAAACATATACAAACACCCATTACATCAAACAAACATGGAATAAAACAATCATTAATCTGGAGAATGTAAAATGTAACACGATAGATCACTGTTCCTGTTATCATAGACACAGTTTTGATTGCATTGAATACAATACATAAATAATAATATACCGAATTCAAAGGGGAATTCAATTGTCAGGCTTCCATGTTCCATCGCACCGCCCAATTACAATAAATCATCCAAATATATTGAACTGGGGTTTTCCTATGGTTACATCACCTTAGAGGTGTCCTCCCTTGGCAGTCGTCTACAGTGCCGTAGCCATGGTAACAACTTCGACTACGTGCATTTTTAATCAAAACAGCTCAATTACTTGACATACTGTTTTTCATGATGTAAAAGCCAAGACTCTCATTAAATTCACATCAATTTAACACTGCCCATATTAGAGACATGCTCTTATTAGATGTTCTGTTTATTTTATAATACGTAATACTACTCGGATGTAATGGGGAGGAACAATTGGCAGTAGCTGACCCGGCCCTTAACCTCTCTCATTTCAAAACCTTACCCTGGTCCTTATGTTAATACTTTTGTTTGTTGTTTAATGCTGCACTCAACAATACTCCAGCTATAAGACGGCGATCTGTAAATAATCAATAGTGGACCAGACAATCCAGTGAATGATTTCATGAGCATCGACCTACCAAGTCAGTGAGCCTGATCACCCGACCCCGTTACTCGCCTCTTACGACAAGCATAGTCGACTTGTACGGCAAGCATTGGTTGCTGAAGACCTAGTCTACCCCGGAATTTCATGGGTCTTATGTTAATAATAGAGGACTGCTTCTAATAGAGGAAATACGTTTTTTTTGAAATTTTGCCCTATGGCTCGTGATGACAACAGCACCCAGTTCTTGTCAGATCGACAGCCTACACAGGCGATGAATGTTTCTGTGGACAACCAAGAGGACAGTTCAACTTGATTCCGAAACCGCCATTTGGGCACATGCATGTCTCCACTCACAACTATGTATGTTACTATGGGTTAGACGTTATCCAGACTTCCAGAGCAGAACAGCCACCTGGCCTAAGTAGAAGTAGATGAAGTGCTTGGTTTCGTGGGTGACGTAGCTGCCAAAGTTGCGGCCGACGACGCAGTGCCAGGTGGGGTTGTACTTCTTGTCGAACTCCTTCTTGATGAAGGCGGCGATGTCCTTCTCGATGTTGTACTTCTCCATGGCCATCGTGGCACAGTCCACGGCGTCCTGCTGTAGTTCCTCGCCCATGTCGGCGTTCTTGATCATTGCCTTTTGTTCACACATGCTGCAACGGCAATAACAAGGGAAAATAAGATTTGTTTGTTTGTTTGTTATTTAACGGCGCACATTAAACACTTCCTCCTTCTTAAAATACACGAACGCCGCACCCAGCAATATTCCAGCTATATGACGGCGGTCTGTAAATAATCGAGTCTGGACCAGACAATCCAGTGATTGACATCATGACCATCGATCCACGCAATTGGGATTCGATGACATGCATCAACCAAGTCAGCGAGCCTGACCACCAGATCCCGTTAGTCGCCTCTTACGACAAGCATTGTCGCCTTTTACGGCAAGCATGGGTTGCTGAAGACCTATTCTACCCTGGATCTTCACGGGTCGGAAAAATAAGAAGTGTTGCGATAACAGTAGCACTTAAACCTTGTCGACGGGAACTCCAATAACTTGATAAATCACGAAGACATGAAACCTTTCTGGATTACAACCTCTTTTTTGTGTGTGAGGAAGTTTCAGGGCATCTTCTCATGGAAGGGCAACAGGTCTGCCAGAGTTATAAATGATGTTAGCTTTTTTTTGTTTAAAAAAAAAAATTCATAATGAAATGTTTTCACATCAATGAAAATTGGACGTTGGTCATGTCAAACTATTGTTTGTCCAAATATGTGTCAAAAGACTGATGGTAGAGGTGTTTAGAAAGCATTTTAAAAACAAAACAAAAATTTTAACACAAGGAAGTTTTTTTTATGGATTTGGTTTTCTTGAAACTTGCAAGTGTCAAAAAGAAAAAAAATGGTATTTGTAGACCATTTGAACATGTCAATTCCGTAATGTCACAATTTGCCATGTGCAGTGAGCCCCACAAACTAATTAACATTTTGTTTATATAAATGATGTAAGTGGATGATTGAAAATGAAAATTAAGTTGATAAGGTAAATTGATAATGTAAGTTGATAATGTGAGCTGACAATGCAAATTGAAAATGTAAGTTTATAATAAAAACTAACAATAGTTAGTTGAAAATGTGAATTGATGATACAAGTTGATAATGTAAATTGATGATGTAAGTTGATAATGTAAATTGATGAGGTATGATGATAATGTGAGTGGATGATGTAATTTCTTTTGCTGTAGAATATGTTTAATCTTATTTCTTCTTAAATTTTCATTCTTTCGAAAAAATCACTTCTAACTAAGCCCTAAAACGAGGACACATCATGTGCACCCGTTCCATGTCTACTTGTGTGCACGTATACCGCATGTGTCGAACGTTAAGACGGTCACTCCCTCCCGGTAAAGAAACATGCATGTCACATCGTTACGTGGACGTTGTTCAAATTCATGCTCGCACCTGTAGTCAGGCGGCAACTATTCGTTGTGTCACGGCAACCGTGTTCGTTAGACCATGAGTTAAATGAATGTAAATGTTGTGTAATGTTCCAGACAATGACGCTCCTTTCATGCCCTTATTCACACGCTTCACTTAAAGGCAGGAACAGCGGATCTGAAAAGGCAGGTTTGAATGAAGACTCTCTCCTCCAACACAAAAAGCAGTCGTACGTCTTACGTGCGTGTTAAACTGGCGTAACCTAGAAATACTGAATTGGGGTTTCACAAAGCTAGTGTTATATGTTGAAACCCTTCGACGGCATCATCGAGAGGTACCGCCTTTTATGACACGTGGTATGTCCTTTTCTTGATAAAGAGAGTGACTTGAACAACAAACCCAGCGTCACCATGTCATACCACCTTACCTTAATGTTTAATTGTTCAAGATACTTCACCAAGGGTGGGGTTTAAGGTGAGATTGCCGACATCAACGATATCAGTAAATCCTCCGTCATGCCATGCAATGACAGGTTATTACAGTAATATGAAAGAATCGGATGTTTTAACGTCTTTTGAGTATACACCTTTATGTCTATATCGGGACAAAAATATGTAAATATTCACATTAATATATATACTTACATTGCAAATTCCAAACTATCCCTGATGACACCAAGATGATATTTAACCGATCTCAATCGATACTGAAAACATGTTACGCAGCTAACCCTTATCAACAAATGTGTTGTTGAGAGAAGCTGCACTCTGATTGGCTGATCCTGACAGTTACATTAGGCGATTTTAACATCCCGTCATGCTTTAGGCATAACCTGCAATATGCCTGCATGTTGTTGCAACATGTTGAAACACAACCATTCACATCACATGTAGGTCATGAGATGAAAACTGGGTAGAATGTTACAAGCGTACATTCTCACAAAGACAGTTTCTATTTTGTGTTTCTTAACTGAAGGCATTCAAAATACAAAAGGACTGGCGTTTTTTAATTCAACTGACGCTAACTAAAACCAACCGGCCGACCAAGAGGATAAAAGCAGAAGAATAAAGAGTTACTTAAGCGCTGTAGCGTAACTATGCGACATTGTTAGTATATGGCAGGGCGATATGTTCCAACCGTTAAAAGGGGTTAGAAGAAGAAAATCAACCAACTTCTCCCTTACATTCTTACTATATCAATTAAAGATGATACTTTTAATGAAATAAAAATTCAAACTGACAAACAAAGAAAGTAATTTATCAGCGGTAAGTGTATTCAGCGTCACGACAGTCATCACTTGTTTGTAAACAAAACGGTCAGTCGGTTGCGAGTTCAACTCCAAGCATGGTTGTGGCCACCTATCACAGTGGGGAGTTTTGACTGGTGGCAGCGATAGTATAGAGAGCTCCGCGAACGGACTAGCACTGTGATGAGCTTCACGGCGCTTTCGTATTAGGGGTGGGTATTGGAGGTTTAAAGTGTTTCACACTATATTGCAACGCACAAGGACCTATTGCTATGCGTATCACGATATACACGTGTATTGCATAATTCTGATTTTTTAATTCGGAAGCAATCTGATACATTAAGGTATAAACTGAAGTTCAAAAATGGCCAAGATGCTGGCACAACATAATGTTTTACTCATTCAAAAAATACACAGCCATCTTGGGGCCCAGGATGCTCGCTCCTGGGAAGCGAAGGCATTTGGCAAGTACAAATATAACATTAACAAACGATAAAAATCCCAATTTGAAATCACCCGATATATCGATCTTGAAAAAATGATATCGTGATACGTATCGTGGAAAGAACAAACCTCAATTTACCGATATACCGGTAATACCTCACACCCTCCCACCATTCAAAACCGATCGTGTCATTCCGATGCCTTTTTCGGAGTTACTGAAACACGCGAGAGGCGAGATAATAACATCTACTTTAGTAACCACATCGCATGTAAATAAAAGTGCTATCATTCTTGCTGTATTCATTGTATAGGAAGGCTCAGACATCGTCCCAAATATTCAATACACTGAGTGGATAAATGAGTTGTGTGTTTGACTTCACTTTAAAACAAATATTAGGGGACTATTGCGGATATTTGTACAGCTGTACAGTATTGTACAGTATTACAATAGTTCAAAACACTATCGCGATACCGTTACGGTTTTGAGACACTTTAAATAGAAATAACCACACAAATTACAAACAAAAACGCAATCCCCATAAAGTTTGTATCGTTATGATAAGAGTGAGTGAGTTGGGTTTAACACCGCTTTTAACAGTATTCCAGTTATATCGCGGCGTGTCAACTTAATGTGGGAGGAAAGCCCGAAGTGATGCAGGTCTCAGACGTCACGAGCACGGGTATGGTGCTGACAAACCTAGAAACATAATCGGGGCGAACCGGGATTCGAACCCACAATCATAGGTTTCTGGCGTGTCCACGGGACGCAACTCTGCACAGCGAATCTCAGCGCCTCAGACGACTGGGACTCCGGTGCCCCCCGTAATGATAAGAACCCGGCACATTTCGATGACACCTGACACAATAAATCAGCAGTCCTCAACAAATGGTCACACGCTGCGTGATTTACTGTGTTTGGTTCGACTGCAAATGTAATTACGATCCAAACTTTATGGGGATGGTGTTCATATCAATACGTTATAAACCTCTGATGACGTCACACAACAGTAACAGATGGTTCTTCAACATTTTGGCAAACTTCCAAGGCAGGAAATATCACAATCTCATTAAAATCAGATCTAAGTTCTCGCTGCCCCTAAACAAAGATCTGAGGACATCCCATTACGGATCGTGTCACAACGACCTTTCCCGAACTTTCCCAATCACTGAAATGACTAACACGAAGTCGACACCAGTCCTTTAGAAAGCAGCTTTCACGAGCTTTACAGTACTCGTTCCATCCTTGCGACTTCCATTTCAGACAACGCTTGAAAAATATGTTGACACAGTTCTCGATTAAAATTTTGAAAACTGAACAAACGAACATGTCTTATATATGGTTTGTATGGCAGTGCTTCCCACGTACCGTGCAACATCTCTTCCGTTCAAATGTTTATCCCACGGAAGCCAGAGATAGACGATGATTTTGACGGAATCAGTCGTACGGGCCGCAACTGTCGTTCGGAATACCCCGTGTTAACGTTTTCGAGGTTACATGATTAGAAAACACATTCCGACTGTCACTTTCATGATCTGGTAAGCGACGCTTTAATTGGTCGGATGAAAGGTCGTTCTGACGTGACCCGTAATGGAATGTCCTCAGATCTTGTTTAGCGATAGCGAGACCTAAGATCTGATTTTAATGAGATTGGGAAATATCAACAACGCCCGGGGCCTGATGAATACATTTCAATTGTTACATCTAGGTTTTTATAATTAACATTTCATAAACTTGATGTGAACGCAATTGTGTTTGATGATTGGTTAAATGTCACAATTTTTCTTAACATGAAAATTCCATGACGTGAACCGAACCTGCATGCTACCTCACATATCTTCTTAAGTTTTGTAACCAACTGTTTACCGGGGCAGATGATAAGAGGTTGTTCACTCTATCATGTCAGGACTCCAGTTAGTCCATGCTGCACATGTTTTTTGTGTTGCACGCTTTGAGCGAATTTCTTTTATACCGCGATAAACTATATTGTTTCACTATGAGGTATGTCGATGTTTTCTTATTTTTTTCTGGTATATCTTGTATTTAGACGGTTCATAAGTTTGATGAAGCACGCCTTCGGGATTTTCCCTCTCTCCCGTTTTTTTTCCAACCAAAACCTCGTAGGTGTGTTTTATCCTTGACATGCAAACTTTACGCCTATTTAAAGTGTGTACATATTCCATAGTTTGGTAGCTCGCAGCTGGTTTTCTTTGGTGGTCCACAACTTTGCAGGGCGGTAACGGTACTTAAAACCGTTACAGTATCGCGACAGTGTTTTGAACCATTGCAATACTGTACTGTACTGCTGGTTTTCGTTGGTGGGCCTGATGTTGATTTCTCGATGTTATACCATAGATGATAAAGAATAACAAGCCACAAATTCAGCAGCTGGTTTGGAAAGTTGTTAGTGAGTTATACAGATCATGACAATGTTGTTTTTTGAATTTATGTTACGTCTGTCTTTTCTGGCGACAGAGTAGCCCTGCATCAAATTAAATGATTGTTATTTGCAATCGAACTTGTTTTCGATGCAATGGTATTGGGCAGTTGCGATCATGATGCACTGATAATTGGAGAAATCGTTTACCCCTAATTTCACGACAGGGCGTCTCAGCTTAAATCGTCGTTACTGGCAAATGAACCAGGCTGTATTGGTTTACGTCTTGTGTGATGTCCACAGCATGGGCATACAGCTGATAAAACTAGGATCAACATCAGGGCGAGTCTGGGATTCGAACCCACAGTCAGCGCATCACGACAGTCAAGGGACGCAACTCTACACAGAAAATTGCGACAGACTGGTTTCCTAGGTATGTTGCGCTGGCGCTCAGTGTAGAGACCGAGACCATTGTGCCACCTAAAACCGAAATAGCAACATCAACGCTCGACGTTGTCGGCTGCTTTTATTTTGTTGTTGAGATTATAGTGTCTGATTAGATTAGAAACAGCTGGGTTCTCGTTTTCTGCTATACATTTGCTTCACATTCACCGGTATCATTTGTTAAAGTAGGACGAGACATGCCATTCTCTCGTCAGAGTATGTCAAGCTCTCGTAAAATCACGAATTTGTAAAACCTGTTGTTAGGCATTTGGGTTATTCTCAGAAAATGTCTGCCACCAGCGGGGATTAAATAATTTTATTTTAAAAAAAAGGTTTAGGTAAATATCAAACTTTTGTTTTCAACTTTGCAACAACAAAACATGCATTTGATTATTTATAACACAATATATTAAATAATGATAAAAAAACCACGTTCCTCCCAATTTTAAGCAGAAACAATTGTTATGTATTATGTTGTAAATCCTTACACATTATATATAAGACAAGCATTTACTATTGCAATGCAAAAATTATATTTTGAAATATGTAAGACTTTTCATTGTGAGGGGGAAATTGTCCCTCCTAAGATCAAAATTAAGGCAATGACACTCCAAGTGCATCCCACAACTTCATCTTTGGACTGAAATCCACTTTCTACTTCCTGTCCTACCATTGGTGATCTGAAGTGGGGAACTCATTTCAAGTTCAAGAAAACAAGCCTTGAAGGTGAGTCACATATCACACGTTCCCTTGATGTTCGTCCCTCCTGACACCATCCATCTTCCCGAGGCAAGAGAGTTAACTGACTATAAAAGTCCAGTTTCCACCCTTGCCGAACAAGGCTGGTATTATGGAGTTACATCTTGGCTGGACTAACGAGTCTATGCATAGTCCAATCAAAATCGCGCACCGAAATCGAAATCCGGTTCGTAAACTGACATGCAGATTTCGGTCGATTGCAAGATTTGCAAAGCATGTGCACCGCCAACTCGTTGTCAGCAGATATTTTCTAAATCTTTTCATGTTTTTAATCAAGGTGCTCACGTGAATTGATGCATTTCGCGACGTAAGACTCGTTTTATCAAAATCTAGATCTTGTTTATCGATCAGATCGTCCTGACCGGGCGCCACCATTTTGTGAAGCAAACGCAAGTGATACGAGAGTTGGAACCCCATTGGTCCATAGGAGAGGCTTAGAGGGGACATAACTGGTAATAGCCACTGGTGGCGCTACGATCGAGCCCAGTAATTCCAGCCTAGTTCGGCAAGGGTGGAAACTGGACTTT